TACACCCAAAGTTGTCCTTTTGTTCCTATACATGCATGTGCACACACATGAAGTTGTTCATGCACACGTATGAACACACATGCTCATGTCACACACAAAGAAATGGTTAATAATGAATTGGGGTTTTTTGGGTTTTTTTTTTTCAGTCTTTTTGAGACAGGGTCTCCCTGTAGCCCCAGTTGGCCTGGAACTCACTATATAGACCAAGCTGGCCTTGAACTCACAGAGATCCACCTGCCTCTGCCTCCCAAGTGCTGGGATTAAAGACGTGTGCCACCAGGCCAACATAATGAGTTTTATACTATGTATTTTGCTTGTTTTGTTTTTGAGACAGACTCTCATGTAGCCTAAGCTGAACTCAAAGCTCACTATGTAGCTCAGTTTGGCCTTGAACTCCTGATCCTCCTGCCTCCATCTCCTAAGTGCTAGGATGGCAGGTATGGGCCACCACACCTGGCTATGCTATGGATATTTTACCAGAATAAAAAGAAAAGGAAAAGTGCATTTAAATACCAATTAAATACCACACTGGTATTTACTGGGGTGGAAAAGATTTCTCTGGCCCTCTCCCCATTCACACTCATCCCACCCTACTCTCCTAGTCATCAATCTGCTGATGCAAGGGAAGTGCATGTCCCCAGACCCCCCCAATGATTTGCTGTGGCCCTCAGTAACTACTGTCCCAACAAAATCCAATTTAGAAAGCCAGGCATGGTGGTACACAAGTGTAATCCCAGCACTGAGGAGGCTGAGCTGGGAAGCTCAACACAAGGTCCATGCCAGACTCCGCTGCAAGGTAAGACTAGAAACTAAAACAAATTAGACACATCTCTCCCTCCCTCCCTCCCTCCCTTCCTTCCTTTCGACAGTCTTACTATGTAGCCCTGACTGGTCTGGAACTTGCTTTGTAGACCAAGCTGGCCTTGAACTTGCATCTATCCTCCTGTCTCTGCTTCTCCAGTGTTAGGATCACAGGTATGCCTGGTCAGACAAGGGTTCTCAAGAACACCTAAATTCAAATGCCTTCCTCTCAATATTTGTACTGACTGAAGGGGATTACATTTTGACTGAAAATAAATTCTTCTGGAAAAATATAAACAACTACCTGAGCTCCCATGTACCTACAGAGCCCCTGCCCCTCTGCTTTCTACACACCAGAATGAAGCTTGAGTGGGTCCACTACATGGACCCTGGCTACTTGCAAAGCAAGATGGATGGAGGCACAAGTGAGGAGCAGGAGGCCATTCTGTTGTGTTAACTGGGAGGTGGTGATGCTGGCTGGATAGTGCATTGGTGAGGCTGCCCTGAGTTGGGTTTTTTTTTAAATTCTATTATTTTTTATGTGTATGTGTGTATTGCCTGCATGTAGGTAAGTGTACCCGTGTTGTGCAATGCCCAGGGAGGTCAGAAGAGGCTGTCGGAGGTCAGAAGAGGCTGTCGGATCCCCTGGGACTGAAGTTACAGACAGTTGTTAGCTGCCATGTGGGTGCTGGGATTCAAACACGGGTCTTCTGCAAGAACAACCAGTGTTCTTAACTGCTGAGCCATCTCTCCAGCCCATGCCCTGAGTATTTTAATTATTTATTTATTATTTATTTATTTATTTATTTGGTGTTGAGGATTAAATCCAAATCTTCATACATGCTAGGCAAGCCTTCTACCACTAAACTATAACACTAGTCCTTTTTCAAACACTGTCATTGTACTGGGCGCCTTCAATCCTAGCACTCAGAAGGCAGAGGCAGGTGGATCTCTGTGAGTTCAAGGCCAGCCTGGTCTACATAATGAGTTCCAGGCCAGCTAGGGCTACAGGGTGACCCTGTCTCAAAAAGACAAAAAACAAAAAACCAACAAAAAAATCAAACATTGTCTTTGTGTATGTATGCCTCTGCACACACACACACAGGAGCCAGAAGAAGGGGTTAGTATCCTCCCCTATCCACCGAATTCCTTTGAGGCAGGGTCTCTCAAGCTCTAGCAATCCTCCTGTCTCTGTTCGTACCTTTCCCCAACACCAAGGTTACAGGCACACTTGAGATCATGCCTAGCTTGTCACATGAGCACTGAGACTCAAACTCAGGTCCTCCGGGTTGCATAGCAAGCAGTCTTTTTGTTTTTTTAACACATATGAGTGTTCTGCCTGCATGTGTATAAGCACACCCATGTTGTGCAGTGCCTGTGTGGGACAGAAGAGAACATCAGATCCCCTAAAACTGGAGTTACAGACAGTTGTTAGCTGTCATGTGGGTGCTGGAAGTCAAACCTGGGTCTTCTGGAAGAGCAGCCAATGTTCTTAACCGCTGAGCCATCTTTCCAGTCCACCCCCAGCCTTTTATTCCTATTTAAAACTTTGAGCCAGGGTCTCACTAAGCTGCTCAGGCAGGCCTTGAACTTGCAATTCTCCAGCCTCAACTTTCCAAGTAGCTGGGGTTCCAAGCCTGGATCACCAGCTCATGTGTTTGATTTCTGTGTGCCGGGCAGCATCTTGCCTGCACCCATAAGATATCAATAGGTACGCCCTTCTACTTTAGCCATCAAAATGTGTCAGATGAGGGCTGGAGATATTGCTCAGCAGCTAAGAATCCTTCCTGTTCTTACAGAGGACCCAAGTTTGGTTCCCAACACCCATGTCAGGCAGCTCACAAGTGCCTATACCTCCAGCTCCACGGACTCCAATGCTCTCTCCTGGCCTCTTTGGGTAATACATTAATGTACACATACACACATAAATTTTATATTTAAAAATTAAGCTTGGTGTAATGGCACACACCTTTAGTCCCAGCACTCAGGAAGCAGATGCAGGAGGATCTCTGTGAGATCAAGACCAGCCTGGTCTACATAGTGAGTTCCAGACCAGTTGGGGCTACAGGGGGACCCTGTCTCAAAAAAATTTAATTAAATGTATGAAATGTTGTCCAATCTCCCCTGAGGGTAACACTGCCCTTGGTCAAGAACCAGTGATGCAGACACAGGGTCAAAATAGGTCATTCATGTCATATGGCCAGTGCAGGGTACCATCTCATAGCCTGCTAGGGTCTAATGAGTACCAGGGTGATGTCATGGCTGTTCTAGTACTTTCCCAGCAAGGCAGAGTACAGTCCTTGGCTGGTAAGCCACAATGCCTGGGAGGGTCTCAAGAAAGGAAAGCAGCTGTGGGTTTGTGCCACAGAGCTAGAGGACAGATGTCACATGTGTTCCTCAGGGACCCTGCAAAGCACTGTCATGGGAAAATGAGGTCTGTGCCAACACTCTTGACCACCGAGTATAACCTTATTTGGAAAGAGGTCTTGCAGACCCAGGATTAGATGGGGTCATACTGGAGTTGATTAGCTCAGAATCTAATGCCTGGTGCCTGTATAAGAGAAGGGACAGAGTGATTCAAGCACTTGGGGAAGAGGCCACATGATGACAAGGGAGAGATGGTGCTGCCACAAGCCAAGGGATGTCAAGGAGTACCAGTGGCCAGCAGCAACTGGGTGAGGCAAGGCATGATCCTCCCCAGAAACTTTGGAGGGGATATGGCCTGTGGGACATTGTGACTAATGAACTTTTGGGCTTCCAGATATGTAAGAGGACATACTTCTGTTGTTTACAGCTATCCAATTAAGGCCACATGTGATACCATCCCAGGGCACCCAGTGTACATATCCACCTCCACCTCCAGAGCCTCTCTGTGTAAAAGTGAAAGCTGTGTACAGCAGCACCTCCTTGGGGGCGGGCCTCTCTAGCACCCCTAAGATACCTACCTGGCCCTTTATCCATGCCCTCTGTTTTTTGAGATTTGTTCTCTTCTTCCTCAGTCTCCTCTTCAGATATGATTGGTATTTCTTCTTTGTTAAGTTGGGAAAGAAAATATAAAATATGATTTATCCCCACACGAGACAGCCACACCTTTGCTTTAAGTACAGTTGAAAGGTCGGGATTCACCCTACAGGGGATTCACAAATGCCGGGTTAAAACATCATGGTGCCAGGGACAGCTTTTAGGGCCAGCAAGGAAGATTTGTGCCAATTTGTATAAAGAGGAAGGACAGGATAATGATTGCAATTTCAATTGCAGGGCACCATTGACACATTCAGCAGCATTACTCTGCACATCTGAAAACTGTCCCAACAAGCCCAGCTTGGCAGGGTAGGCCCTTAATCCCTGTACTCAGGAGATGAAGGTAAGAAGATCAAGGGGTTCAAGGCCACCCTCCACTACAAAACAAGTTCAATGCAAGCCTGGGCTACAATGAGACTCTATCTCAAAAAATAAAACAAGGGCCAGAAACTGCCCAGGGGACCCTGTAAAGTGAGACTCAACTCCCATGGGCACAGGGTGAAGGCACCCAGCCAGATGGCTGAGTCAAATGGTGTAAGTGTGTCCAGCAGGAGATGGCTGCTCACTGCTGATGTCACAAGAAGCCCAAACCTCATCCACTGTTAGGGTCTTGGTGTAGTCTGTTTTTTTCTTATGTATGCAAAATCAAAGTTTCTGACATTGTGATCCATGTTACATAGCCCTTCCATTAGTGTATCCTTGAATCCATATTTTTACTCGGTTACATGAATGGGCCTAAGGTAGATGCCCAGGATAGTGTTCAGGCTCAAAGTTCTGCCTGGGGAAGAAAAGTGAAGCCTAGAAGTTTAGAGTCTAGGGAGGCTGAGGAAAGAGGCTTGAGAGTTTGAGGCTAGCCTGGGCTACACAGTAAGTTCCAGGCCAGCCTGGACTATGAGCACCTGTCTTAAAAGGATAAATTAATTTAAAAATTAAAGATAAATAAATAGAAAAATAGAGTCTGGGATGCAGTAGCTTATGCCTGTACTTTAGCACATGGGAGGCTGAAGCAGGAGGATGAGAGCTTGAGAGCTTAGGTGACACAGTGAGCTCTCAGTGAGCCATCTCTCAAATACAATAATAACAAAAATAAAAGCAGAGAGCGGGGCATGGCGGTAAATGCTGTTAATACCAGCACTCAGGCAGATGCAGGCAGACCTCTGTGAGATGGAGGCCAGCCTGGTCTCTCATCCTCTAATCACAGCTGGCCTAGAACTCACTATGGAAACCAGGCTGGCCTTGATCTCACAGAGAGCCTCCTGCCTCTCCCTCTCAAATGCTGGGATTAAAGACGTACCACATCCAGCACTTGAGAGGCAGAGGAAAGCAGAACTCTTGAGTTCAGAGCCTGGTCTGAATATCAAGTTCCAGGACAGCCAGGGCTAGAGTGAAGCCTTGTCTTTTTTTAAAAAAAAAGTACTAGCCAGGTGTGGTGGCTCACGCCTTTTATCCCAGAGGCAGAGGCAGAGACAAGCAGATCTCTGTGAGTTCAAGGCCAGTCTGGTCTACATAGTGAGTTCCAGGCCAGTTGGGGCTACAGGGAGATCCTGGCTCAAAAAGACTGGAAAAAAAAAAAAAAAAAAAAGTACCAGCATGCAGGAGGCAGAGACAGGCGGAGCTCTGTGAATTCAAGGCCAACCTGGTCTACATAGCAAGCTCCAAACCAGCTGGGGTACAGAAAGGTTCTGTCTCAAAAAGATTAAAAAAAAAAAAAAAAAAAGCAAAAAACAAATATACCTAGCACCTAAAAGATATGTCTGCTTGGCCCTGTACCCGAATATCCCATGTTGTCAAGGGCAGGAGACTGGCCACACAAGCCCATGACACCTGTGCTCCCCAGCCCTGTGTCCCCTCATTGTATTCTGCACCTTAACTAACCTGTGCAACCCCTCCCTGCCCTCTCTGTGTCCCTGAGTCTACCAGAGTGTGAGCTGGACCAGACATTGGGCTGGGGACTCACCTCCACAGACACCCCAGCATCCAGTCACTTTTTTTCTTTTAATGCTAACTTGCCTAACATAAACAATGAAAACCTGGTTTTAAAACATCTTTTATTTATATTATGTGTCTATGTGTGTGTAAGAGAGAGCCAGCCAGGTGCCAGATCTCCTGGAGCTGGAATTACAGGTTGTGAACCAAATTCCAGTCATCTGTAAGAGTAGCAAGTGCTCTTAAACCACTGAGCCATCTCTCCAGCCTTTTGTTTTTTGAATCTTTTTTTTTTTTTTTTTGTTTTCAGTCTTTTTGAGACAGGGTCTCTCTGTAGCCCCAGCTGACCTGGAACTCACTAACTCACTTCGTATACCAGGATGGCCTTGAACTCACAGGAGATCCTCCTTTGCTTCTGCCTCCCCAGTGCAGGGATTAAAGGCCTGTGCCACCACTCCTGGCTCAGTCTTTTGTTTTTCAAAAACCTAATTTTTGGCGGCACTATCCCCCCATCCCCGCTTTCTTTTGTTCTGTCCTTTCAAGACAGGATCTTGCTATGGAGCAGAGATTGCTTTGGGGTTTGTGATTCTGGCTCAGCCTCCAGAAAACTAAGATACAAGGAAGTACCACTTGGCCCTGCTGCTACTTTTTAGCATATTGAGATGGTGGCACTCTGCTGACCCTCTGCTTTACCTGACCTACAGACCTTCCCCATCTGGCCAAGGCACCTGGAGAGCTGGTCAGCAGCTCTCCAGCCTCCTGTGATCAGCCATGCACAGTGGAGAGCGAGGATGGCACCACCTCACAGACCTATGAGTGGACAGAAGCAGCTGCACTGGCACACAGTAGGATTAAGTGCCTGCTGGGTCCTAGTTCCAGGGTGGTCTTTGCACCCAGCGCGGCGGGAGTCCCAGGCTCACCAATCTCCACCTCCACCTCCTCAGGCAACAGGACTCGGTAGAAGAAGAGAGTAGCAGCACCATCCTCATCATTGGTGTGGTTGAGGAAGTGGAGGATGAGGTCCTCCACCTCGCTGTCATCCCTGCTCAGTAGCTCCTCGAACACCTTCGGGTTAGTGAGGCCGAAGGCGGTGTACACACGGTCGCGCAACCACAGTACCCGCAGGTCGTCCATGTCGGAGCCCTGGAGGACAGCTCAGGGCGAACAGCCTAGCCGGTGGCGTCCGTAGCAACAGCGCCGCCAGCAACGTGCGCCCGGGGAACGGTGCTGGCTCGGGCTGCCAGACTAGGCTGGGGTGTGTCCCCAATCACCGTGCACCCGACAGGTCACGTGCCCATTCTGCAGGCAGACAGCTGAGGCGCAGAACCAATGATAAGAGGTCACAGTTCTGAGGTGGCAGAGGCAGCCACAAAGGCCAACTGATTTCTGTTCTCAGCCAGAGCCACAGGCGTCAACAGCACCCTCAGAGTTCTATGGAGGCACTACTAGCTCCTTCCAGTTTAGGAGGTTAGAAAGCAGGGCCACAAGGAAGCAAAACACTTGGGTCTCAAAAATATAGATTTATTTGTCACTAGCAAAAGGATGTTTGATACTGATAGGCAGATTAGTCTTTCTGTACATCTGTGCAGCACTGACTGGCTCCTGAGATTCTGTCCCAGACCTGGGCTCAGCAACCCAGTCAACCAGCCAGTCAAGTCCAAGTGGCATTTTCCGAGGATTTCTTGGGTGCTAAAGCAGAGCTCCATACTGCAGTCTGAGGTAGGAAAAGCATTACCATTTCCACCGTCTTGAGTCAGAACTCTTAGGACCCACTTGCAGGCAGGCAAAGCTGGCCTTCAATAGAGAAACACTGATTCCAACTCAGTCTGAACAGCTCGAGGAGCTGGGGTTTTGTTTAGTTTTTTTTTCCAAAATGGATGAGACTTTAAAAGGTCTACATAATTAGTTTATCAACATTGTAAGTTACCAATAGTTCATGCCTTATTAAATGACTCCAGGTTGAACACTGGGGTCTGAACACTGTTTTAAAAGCCCGGTACTACACACCTGTAGTCCTGGCTACTTGGGAAACTAAGGCAAGAGGATCTCAAGTTCAAAGTTAGCATGGGCAGTACAAGATATCTCAAAACATGTATACCCATTCCAGAACTGAGGCCAGAGGAGAATTTAGGGAAACATGAATGTGTTCCAAGTCCTATGGTATAAGGAGAGTCTAAGCTGGAGCCCCTCTGCATGCCTTCACTCACAGGGCCTCTCCACTCACAGGCGACCCTGGAGAAATCTCCTGGGATGTTATTTTAGGACAGCATTAGCACATGGCCATAAACACCAACAAAAACTGAAAACCTGGCTCTGGTAACTTGTCCTCAGGAACATAAACATCCAGACAGCTGCAATCAATGGTTTCCAACTTTTCACAGAAGTTATATAATTGCATTCTATATAACTGCAACAAAGACTTGGACTGAGAACTGGCTTTTGCTGTTCTGTACTCTGGTAGGAGGTGCTGGTTAGAAGTGGCCGTCACAACTGCCCTTGGGGACAATAATCATGCCAGAGGCTGTGTGTCTGTTTGCTCTTCAGTACAGTGCCCCACAGTTTTGAGTTCCCAGACAAGGAATTAGTTACCTCTGTGATGACCACAGGCCCTGGGGGAGGCGGGGCACAGTAACAAGAGTGACAACATGGGGGTGACATCACCTACAGGTGAGAAGTGAGTCTGATGAAACTAATAGCAACACCTAACCCAGTCCCCCAGCAAGGGGCCAATGGAAGCCGACTAGAACGGCAGAATGGCTGGGGTTTCACCAACATGGTTTATGTTCCAAAACTGAATCTGAAGGACAAAGGCAATGTCCAAACCAGCCTTGCATAGCACTGCATCAAGTATCATGCAGAATCCACTGTAAATGGACAAGTTTAATCTTACAGTCTGGCTGCATCACTCAAAAAGTTCATGCCTCTCAGCAAGCAGGCTTTAATTGAAAAGATGTTAAATTCAGAGCTACCAGAGTCTTGGCTTTTAATAAAAGGGCCTCACTCTACCCACACAGCTGGAGGGGGCCTCACTCTACCCACAGCTGGAGGGGCCTCACTCTACCCACACAGCTGGAGGAGCATGGGGACCAACATGCCTTTTCAGTATCATGCTACTGAAAAGTTAAGAGGGTAGAAATATATGTCATATAGACGGGGTTGGTCTCAAACTTGCTACATAGCTGAAGATGACCCTGAACATCTGATCCTCCTGCCTCTTCCTCCTGAGTTCTAGGATACAGGGCAGGTGCCACCACGCCAAGGTTACATGGTTCTGGAGATTAAATCAGGGCTTTGTACATGTTAGACAAGCATGTACAATTGAGCCACACCTTGGCCCCAAATTTCTTTAAAACTACTCATATATAAAAGCACTTAATGTAAAATGTGAAAAATGAACATAATTTATAAGAATATGAAATAGAGCAAAGGTTCAACAAGCCTGACTCAAGTTCATGCAAAACGAAATGGCACAAGAATAGATATAGTCAAGATTATAAATTAATGGATTAATGAGAATTAGTTTTCAACTGACTTGAACAGCATTTGGAAGTTGAACTATCTCCATGAGACCTTTATTTAGAATTAGTCTGTAAGTAAAAAATTATACTGTTCCCAAGGAGAAACGTGATCTGTGGTAAAATATTTTCATTTAAATGTTGCTATAAAAATACACACAGGCTACTTCCCACCTCTCCCTGCAAAGTGCACTGGGCTGTAAGGCTCACTCAGGACAGTCATCCTTCTGAACGCACAACTATGATTGGTCTCAGGTGGTAGTAACAAGACAAGAGCTTTAAAAAATGACAAGTAGGAGAACCACCTGGTTTTTTGTCCCAATTATTAAAATAAGTTAGCACTGTAGAAACTGCCCTTCCTGGTAATTCCAAAAGTACACAGTGAGAACTCTCAAATACTCCTGACCAAGAAGGGTGAATGTGGAACTTCTGATTACCTAAAAGTCATTTTTTTTAAAACTATGCTTAACTTTGGCTGCTAGAAAAGATTAACTGATAACTTCACATGAAGAAAGAACTTCGTGCTCTTAATAAGGTTTAAAAGGACTCGAGTATCTAAGATCATTTTTAGGTAGCCCAAATCTGTACTACATTTTAAAAAATAACTTTAATATAACATTTGGCATTAACTTATATTTGCTCATAACGAAAACCAATGAAATTTCTGTCTCAAAGTGAATTTACAAGCTGAGAAAGGTGGTGCATGCCTTTTAATCCCAGTGCTCGGGAGGCAGAGGCAGGTGGATCTGTCAGTTCAAGACCAGCCTGGTCTACATAGCAAGTTCCAGGCCAGCTGGGGCTACAGGGAGACCCTGTTTCAAAGAAAAAAACTAAAATAAAAAAGTGAATGTTACAAAGTCTTTAACACAAGGAAGAGGTATATCTTACAGAATTATTATTTGGCTATATCGTAAGGCAATCAATGAGGATGGAATCTCCCTATTATAACTGACACAAGTGAATTCTGCAACATGATAAATCTCCATAACTCTGAGAGTGGGTTGGCTGCAGCAAGATCATGCTATGTCGTCATTACTGAACTTCGAGGACAGCAGACTGAATGAGAAAGGAACAAATTTGGTGCCTGCACCAACGTAGAATTTGTTCTGAAATTCTACCCTACAAAAAAGAAAAAAGAAAACATTTTAATAGATTGTGAAGTAACATTCCTACATTTTTAAAAAATATTTTATTATTGCCGGGGGTGGTGGCACAGGCCTTTAATCCCAGCACTCAGGAGACAGACGCAGGTGGATCTCTGTGAATTTGAGGCCAGCCTGGTCTCCACAGCGAATCCAGGCCTGCTGTGGCACAGGGAGACTCTGTCACAAAAAGGCCAAAAAGAAAATTTTATTATCTTTATTTTATGTGTATAAGTGTATTGCCTGCATGTATATAAGTGCACCCAGGTTGTGCAATGCCCACTGAGGTCAGAAGAGGGCATTCTGGAAGTGGAGTTACAGAAGATCATTAGCCACCAAGTGGGTACTGGGACCCAACAAGAGAAGCCAGTGCTCTTGATCTCGGAGCCATCTCTCCAGCTCCACATTCCTACATTTCTTAAAAATCTGTAAGTTTAAAAAACATCCTGTGCTAAATTGTTCCATCCCATTTATGTTCGTAACACAAACATGTTCACTTGAACACCCTTCCCCAATCCATGCTAGCTTCCCTGTGCGTATCTGAAAGGCTAGCACATCAGGAAGTTGGAGGTCAGAGACAACCCTCAGAGTCTGTTCTCTCCATCCATCATGTGCATTCTAGGGACTGAACTCAGGTCATCAGGCTTGGTGGAAAGTGCCTTTACCTACTGAGCCATCTCACCAGCCCTTTTAGAACATTTTTTAAAATAACTCTTCTGGAGCCTGGCTTGGTGGCACATGGTTTTAAGCCCAGCACTTAGGCGGCAGTGGTAGGTAGATCTCTGTGAGTTCAAGGCCAGCCTGGTCTTCATAGCTGAGGCTACAGGGAGACCCTGTCTCAAAAAAACCAAAAAGTAACAACTGTTCTGAGGTCACATATCAAACTCACCAATGGAGGCGGATGGCATGGAGAAATGCAGAAAGCCCTTCCATGATCAGAAGGATAAAAATGGTCAGAACTACAAAGAAAGCCATGACAGGGAGCAGCAGCAAGACTCCATAGGTTGTGTCTACACGGAGGCCCACGCGCATCAGCATGGCCCACAGCACATCAGACAGCTCTGTAAAGGAAATCATTCTGAGAGTTCACATCTCATTAAAATAGCAGAGCCCCCATCCTCAGTGAGGAATGTACAAAAAATGCTAGACACAGTGCACTGAGCATCTGGCTCTTGCTTGCTTTGTAAACAATCCTAGGAGGCTCCTCTGCACAGTGATTCAGGTGCTCCCACTGCCTCAATTGAAAACCTCCTTTCTGATCTGACAAGGTGTCCTGCTCTAAGTCTGAGTCCACTGCCAATAGGGCAGCCTCTGCACTTTCACTGTCTTGGGACACAGCAGGCCTCACTCTGGGCCTCGCTCTTTACTCTGGTTTCTCTGGGGAGCTGTCCTCTGTTGACCAGCACCCTCTTGTGATTACCCAGCTCTGTTACGTCCCAGGACTTTGCCATGGAACAGTGAGGCAGCACAACTACATGCTTTGTTGTCTGTGTATAACACAAATGAGGCCAATGACTAGTCACCTTCTGGCTGCAGAAGAAGTAACACAGTCTCTGATTAGGACACAAAGGGTGGCCCAGGGTGACCCATGCACTAAAGAACTCATGCAGGGCATGCCTTATATATAGGCTCACAATTAGGTCAGTGTGGTGGCAGTCAGGACGTGTGGGTACCAGTGCTATTGACTCCACCGTGCATCAGCAGAACCCACAGCCTCAAGTCAGAACTGAAGCTCAGCATTGCTTCCAGACTTGCCCAAAATATACTGTCTTCAGTAAGGCAGGGCTGAGCAAAGCCACAGCAAGAAGGGACTTGGAAACATTGGAGACAGGAAAAGCACCTTTGCCAGAGGTCCCAGCTCTCAGTTCCCCTGAGTGCCTCTGGGCCTAGACCAAGAGAGGACTGGGACCCAAGTGGTAAGAAGCTGGGTCCAAACAATAAACAGCACTTGTCTACCTTCTCCCTAGAAAGTTTAAAGGTTCCACAGATCTAGGCAACTTACGTGCATGTGCCAGGCTGAGAGCCCAGAGCCTCAGGTAGGATGCAGTGTTGGAGATGCAGCCAAGGCAGTACTCAATGGAGTGGATCGCCTGTGTCATCAGGATCTCCCCGAAGTTAAACTGAGAGAGAGCACAGGGCACAGTGGAACATCATATCACATGGCCGCTCTGCTGTGAAGCATGGCCCTGCAGGATAAGGAAGGGACTGGCCTACAGAGGAGAAACGTGCTGTGGGCTGAGGGTGGTTGAGTCCAAGATGTGAGTCCTGCTTTCAGTGACCCTGGGACTCACCACCCCATCTTTCTACTCTATCTCCCAACTCTACCCAAGCCTCAGTTTCCTCTATGTAATAATACCAAGGCACCAGCCTAGAACTGCAACTGCCACAAGGGCCATACCATTGGGGACTCAACGGCATCCAAGTGAGTCTCAGAAACTACCAAACATCCAAACAGATGTTTCCCAGTCACAGACTCAGATGGGTAGAACTGGCATGTGCTGGTGAGGGCAGAGACTAGGGATGACATCCCTGCAAGGGGAAAGACTTCGGGGTCCCAGGTTCTTCCTCCCTCTGAGTTCTGTTCTACAACCCATGATGTCATTACTCAGCCCAAATTAAAACTCTGTTACATAATGCCCAAACACTGATCATGGGAAATTCTGGTTAAGGAAATGAGGTTGTCTTCATTAAGTGGCCAATGAAGCACTTCCTCCCTTGCCCGACCCCATCAGTAGCAATTACCTCCTCACAGGTCACTTCTCGGCAGCCATCCTCCATGCGGTTATTCCCCTCTTCTATATCCTGGCTGCCCAGCAAAGAAACTTCTTCCTCGCTGTCTTTCCTTACCAGCGTGTAACCACCCTAATAGAGAAGGACGCTACAATTGCTACGATGTGGATAAAGCTTCAAGACATTACACTAAGTAAAAGAAGTCCCAGCACTTGGGAGGCAGAGGCAGGAGAATCTCTGAGTTCAAGGCTAGTCTGGTCTACATAGTGAGTTCCAATACAGCTGGGGCTACAGGGAGACCAAAAAAAAAAAAAAAAAGTGAGACTCAAAAGGACAGAGCTATGATTAGACATAATGCACCTAGATGGGACAGGTTCACAGAGACAGCAGTATACACTGAGGGCATGGCATGGGGAGACCATGTCAGGCACAGTAAAAACTTCTAGAGACTGAGAGTGGCAACTCCATACTGTGGTGTGATGTCATTGAACTACAATATATGTAGTTTAATCAAAATTTTTTCAGAACAAAGTGAGAAACCAGACATAAAGGAAAATAATCTGGCCGGGCATGGTGGCACACGCCTTTAATCCAAGCACTCGGGAGGCAGAGGCAGGTGGATCTCTGTGAGTTCAAGGCCAGCCTGGTCTACACAGTGAGTTCCAGGACAGCTGGGGCTACAGGTAGACCCTGTCTCAAAAAGATCCCCCAAAAAGGAAAATAATCTGAAAAGAGAGTTATCATGTATAATTAGGCATAATTAGAGAATAAAACACTATTTTCCACTTTCCTATGTCTTCTATAATTCAGTTATATTAAAGAAAAAAGTAAGAGATAATAACATGGGGAAATTCTTATGAATTGGGAAGAGCTAGCCTGAAGGACCAAATTAAACTAGAGGCCTGGAGAACTTCTTGCAGGGCCAAGACCAGTAACTCCTTCCTCATGCTGTAGCACAAGAACAACATCAAGACTCTAGAGAAGGCACCTCTGGCTATAATCAGGACCTCAGGACACAAAGGACCCACACTTACCCGACTCACACCAAAGCAGCTGCGTCCGTTGTGCAGCCACAGCAAGAAAAGTGGCTTTCCTAAGAAGAGGACGGGGACAGCCAGCACGGTGAGGGCCAGCAACAGCCTCTGCACATGTGCCTGTGGGTGCAAGAGAGGAAGGTCATGAACATAAAAAGGGCTCCCACAGTGTCCTCAGGGCACAAATCAGACTATGAGGGTCACACAGAGCATCTCTGGGCAAGGGACATGAAACAGATATGCACACTGGCCAAGGATAGCTCTCGGTGCCTCTTCGTAAACTCACAACACTCATGATACACTGGCAAAATGTTTTTAGAGCAGTAAAAAAAAATTAGAAAAATTCTAAATGGAGGTCTGGGGATACGGTTCAGTCAGTAAAGTGCTGTTAGGCAAGTACAAGCTAAGTTCACTGCCCAGAACCCACATAAACAGCCACCCATGGCAGTGCACACCTGTGATCCCAGCACCAGAGGATTTGCTGGCCCACTTAGCAAGTTCCAGGCCAGGGAGAGGCCCTGTCTCAAAAGAAGAGGTGAACAGTACCAGAGGAATGATACCCAAAGTTCCAAAGTTGACCTCTGCCCTGTTCATCTACATATGTGTATACACACATACACACACACACACACACACACACACACACACACACACACAAATTCTAGATGGAGTCAAATTCCAGCTAATAATTTTCTGAAAACATTGCAAAAGGGAAAATAGAAACACAAGTAGAATGCTTAAATTCTTGGTTTGGGTTTATTTCTTCTTTTTTTTTTTTTTTGGAGCTGAGGATTAAACCCAGGACCTTGCGCTTGGGACAAGCGCTCTACCACCGAGCTAAATCCCCAATCCCTTATTTCTTCTTTCTTATAAGACTACTTGAGGAATGTAAGTGTGTGAAAAGTAGACCGACTTCACACAGTAGGAAACCACAAGCACTGTCTCAAGAGAACTCAGAGCAAAGCAGCAGACATAGAGCCATGGCAAAGCCTTGGCCCTCATGAGGCCCTGGGCTCCTTCCAGCACCAAACAGTTGTTAAGAAGTCACTGCAGCTTGTTGTGGATATGAAGATGAGTGACTGTACTGCCCTGCCCTTGTCACCCTCTGAGACTGTGTCCCAGGGTCACCTGTACCAACTGGGACAAGGCTGTACTGCCCTAGCACCATCAGCACAATTCCCTGAAAAGTCAAGAGGAGTGGGAGCGACAGGCAGAGCTACTTCGAAATCCTGAGGGGTAGAGTTGGGTGGACCCGTGTTCAAATCCCGACACTCAGTCAGTGAGACACCAGGTCCAACCTGAGCTATAGGTTGTCATCAGTACAGTGGTGATGCAGCCTGCTTGTAGGGACCACTGTGAGAACAGTCAAGGAGAGCATGCTTTCAGGTATGCAGAAGGTGCCAAAGGCAACTCCCCTTCACTGATCTTTCTGACCATAGCAACCATGCCCCCACTGAAATCCCTTGTATTTATCAGTACCTATGTCATTCTACAAATTTTTAATTAAAAAATGAAATTTAAAAAAAAAATTTATTACCCTTGTATTTATCAGTACCTATGTCATTCTACAAATTTTTAATTAAAAAATGAAATTTAAAAAAAAAATTTATTACCCTTGTATTTATCAGTACCTATGTCATTCTACAAATTTTTAATTAAAAAATGAAATTAAAAAAAAAGTTTTTATTATTTTTATTTTATGTGTATGCGTGTATTGCCTGCATGGAGGTAAGTACACCTGTGTTGTGCAATGCCCATGGAGGTCAGAAGAGGCTGTCAGGTGCCCTGGGACTGGAGTTATGAACAGTTGTTAGCTGCCATGTGGGTGATGGGATCTGAACGCGGATATTCTTCAAGAACAACCAGTGTTCTTAACCTCTGAACCATCTCTCCAGCCGAGATTTTTTTTTTTTTTTTTCTTTTTTATATAAAGGGTCTCTCTAGTCCTAGACTGCCTGTAAGTCACTATGTGGACCAGGCTGACCTCAATATCACAGAGATTCATCTGCCTCTGCCTCCTGAGAACTAGGATTAAGGCATTTAAATAATGATCTTTTTTAAAAAATACAGCTTTAAGAGGCCAGAGAGATGGCTCAGTGGTTAAGAGCCCTAGCTGTTCTTGCAGAGGACCCAAGTTCAGTTCCCAGCGCCAACATGAGGGCTAACAACCTCCTGTACCTCCAGTTCCAGGGGATCCAATGCCCTCTTCTGACTCCAAGGGCACTGCATGACATGAGTGCACTTACATCCACGCAGGCAATTCACTCATACACATAAAAATAAAAATAATAATAATGATAAATAAAATAAAATACATCTTTAGGACTGAAGAGATGACTCAGCAGCACATAGTACTCTTCCAGAGGACCTGAATTCAATTCCCAGAAACATTGGGTGGCTCATAACCACCTATAACTCCAGTTCGTGGGGAAGCCAATAGCTCTGGCTTCCATCAGCATGTGCACTTGTGTGCACATACAGACACAGACACAAAGACAGACAGACAGACACACAGACACACACACAATTTAAAAACTAAAAACAAATATTTTTTTAAAAAAACTTTTTTTTTTTTTGGTCTTTTTGAGACAGGATATCCCTGTAGCCCCAGCTGGCCTGGAACTCACTATGCAGACCAGGCTGGCCTTGAACTCACAGCGATCCTCCTGCCTCTGCCTCCCAAGTGCTGGGATTAAAGGCATGCGCCACCACACCCGGCTAAAAAAACTTTTTAAGCCAGGCATGCATGGTAGCACACACCTTTAGTCTCACTACTCAGTCCAAGCATTCATGAGCCAGAGGCATGCAGATCTCTGTGAGAAACTGGTCATCCTGGTCTATATAGCAAGTTCCAGGTCAGCTAGGGGTTACAGGGAGATCCTGCTCAAAAAGACAGAAAAAAAAAAAAAAAAAAAAAAATCCCTCTTAAAAATACAACTGCCAGACCTGGGTGTGGTAGCACACAACTTTAATCCCAGTACGCAGGAGCCAGTGGCAGGTGGATCTCTGTGAATTCAAGGCCAGCCTGGTCTACAAAGTGAGTTCTAGGACAGCTGGGACTACAAGGAGACCGTCTCAAAAAGACAAAAAAAAAAAAAAAAAAAAAAGAAGAAGCAACTGAACAAATGGTTCAGCAGTTAAGAGCACTGTAACTCCTTGCAGAGGACCCAGGTTTGGTCCCCATCCTTAATTCCAGTTTCAGGGGATCTGATGCCCTCTTCTTGTCTCTGAGGTACCAGGCACACACACGGTACACTTACATGTAGGCAAAACATTCATACATATAAAATAATAAAATATTTTGGGTCTTTTTGAGACAGGGTCTCCCTGTAGCCCCAGCTGTCCTGGAAAAACATAATTAAAAGCAGATGACCCCCAAATCCAAAACAAATGCCTCGTGCAGCTTAGAAATGCAGCCTAGAGGGCTGGAGAGATGCCTCAGTGGTTAAGAGTACACTGGCTGCTCTTGTAGAGGACCCAGGTTCAGTTCTCAGCACCCACATGGTGGCTAACAACCTTCTGAAACTCCAGTTCCAACACCCTCTTCTGGCCTCTGTAGGTACTACACAACACAGCTGCACATACATATATGCAGACAAAACACTCATAAACATAATGCTAAGCAAGGTGGTATGCACCTTTAGTCCCAACCCTCAGGAGGCAGAACCAGGGTGGACTGGGTCTAGGGAGACACTGTCAAACAAACAAACAAAAACAAAAAACATTCATACACATAAAATAAAAATAAATAAATATTGGGCCTGAGAGATGGCTCAGCGGTTAAGAACACTGGTTATTCCTGCAGAAGACCCAGGTTCAAATCCCAGCACCCACAAGGCAGCTAACAACTGTAACTCCAGTCCCAGGGGATCCGACAGCCTCTTCTGTCCTCCGTGGGCATTGCACAATATGGATGCACTTACCTACATGCAGGCAATACACATACACAGAAAATAAAAAAATAAGTAAAACATTTAAAATAAATAAATAAAAATTTAAGAGAACTGCAGCCCAGAATTCTACTGTAAGGGGGCCTTCAGATCCAGTTTTCAACCTGAGATCAATAAAATGTGAACACAAAGGCCAGCACTCCATTCACAAGGCCAAGATGATGAAGAATGCAGCTCAGAGGAGTGGCCAGCCACTGATGCCTGCTGAGTTTCCCTGTACACCCTGGGCCTGCCTGAGTCTCCCAGAGTCCTTCTCCCAAGGGATGCTGTGGCACTACAAGCACAGCCTCCATGTGAAATGTGATGAAGCTGACTCAAGACACTGGCCCACACCAGTCACTTTTCTAAGCAGGTAGGCCATCTGAGCTGTACTCAGAACTGGCTCCTGTTCATAATCTCATGACGCAAGAGGAAGTGGGAGTACGCAGAGGATCTGGAGCATGAGAGTGGGGCTGCCAAGGAGGTAGCATGATCAGCCTCAGTGCCCAGACTCCACAGTTACCCGCATGCAGTCATATGAGGGCTTCTGTGATAGTATACTATGTGTTATACAAGTGCAAGTGTGTGTGCATGTATGTGGAAGCCAGAGGTTGGTGTCAAATGTCTCCCTCTATCACTCTCCACCTTATTTTTTGAGGTGGGATCTGTTTCTCAGCCTATAACTCACTGATTTGGCTAGACTAGCTGCCTCTCCAGTGCTGGGATTATAAGCATTTGTTTTCTTACAAGGGGGGATCAAACTCAGATCCTGATGCATACAGCAAGCACTTTACCAAGCCATCTCCCCAGTGCCTCCTTCCCACATGCTTGATGCCTGTGGGGTCGCAGCATGCCTAGCGACATTGCCTGGCCAGCACCTGCAGTGTGCAGGACAGGCACGCTATGGTGACCACACAGCCAGACAGGCCTCCTCAGCTACCAGGGGACTTTCACTGTTACTGGAAGAAAAGGAGCAGGGAAGGTTCTCTTGGACTTGGGTAGAGCGGAGTTCCCTCCCTCACCTCCCCACTTCCTCCCCAATCCCTCACAACCACTCCTCACCCCACCTCCACCTCCACCTCAGTATAGGGAACTCCTTCACATGCCCCAGGTACAGGAGCTCCCTTATCTCCTTCCACCTCCACCCCCCATACAGAAGGGAGGCTCCCTTACCTGCCCAGGGTAGAGGCCATGTGTCTCACTGGCCGGGAACAGGAACATGTTGATGAACTCGATCAGGATGCTGGGGGCCTCTCTGGAGGTCTCGGCCGAGTATGCTAGCCACTTGTAGATGATCATGAAGATCAGGTACCCAAAGATGCAGAGCATGAACAGGATTTCTGGGACAGAGACCAGGTAGATGTTGAACTTCTTCCTGAAGTGCCTGGAAGAGGAACCAGCAATCAGCAGCAGGCAGGAACAGGCCAGCACAAACAAGGGTAACAAAGGCTCTGTGGTAACAGTGCCACAGGCCCCTTTAGGACTCCACATGTCTTTGATGGTTTGTGCCAGAGCTGAAAATTTATCCATTGAGGAAAGAGTCAGACAGAATGCTGACCACAGAAACCCCATAGAAATCACAAATTACTAAGGAGTCTGGCTTCAGAATGCTCATTCTTTTTTTAAGAATTTATTTAAAATATTTATTTTTATTTTACATGTATGAGTGTATTGCCTGTATGTAAGTGCTCCGGTGTTGTGCAATGTCTGCTGAGGTCAGAAAAGGGCATCAGATCCCCTAGAACTGGAGTTACAGACAGTTGTTAGCTGCCATGTGGGTGCTGGGAACCAAACCCAGGTCCTCTGCAAGAGCAGCCACTGCTCTTAACCATCGAATCATCTCTCCAGCCCAAGAATTTATTTCCTAATTGTGTACATGTATATGTGTCTGTGTGAGGGTTTGTGTACATGAATGCAGGTGCCTGTGGAGGCCAGAGGCACCAGAACTCCCTGTAGCTGGAGTTACAAGTGGCTGCAAGCCACCTGATATAGGTGCTGGGAGCTGAACTCAGGTCCTCTGCAATAGTACACATTCTTAACCATTGAACCATCTTCCCAGCCCCAAAATGCTCATTCTTGAATTGTACAAGTTTTCAAGTTCCCAATTATGTTAGGACTCAAAGCTACTGTGTTAAATTATACAAATTATGCTTAGTGATGAGAGTGAGTAGGTCTGCATGGAGAAATATGTCTTTCAAGGTGCAGTTCTGGTCAACAACAGAAAAACAAAAAGTTTTCCAATTTACAACAAAAAAATATGAGAAAACTGACTTCTGGGAATAAGCGTTTATGTGTCACATGCCTCTCCACTTGGACAGAAGCTTCAGGAGGGCAAAGGCCTCTCTCCCTTCTCCTCTGCATTAGCTCTGGTGCCCAGGATAACACCTGCCACACAGTATGCACTGAATGGATAAATCACTGATCACAAGAAAATCCCCAAATTAAATAATCAAAACACAGAATCACACCCTCCAGGGAACCATCAGACTGACTGCCCTTGGTCCAACCAATAATCTATCATCTAAAAAACAAAACTTAAGGGGCCAAGATGGCTCAGTGGGTAAAGGCACTTGCCACAAAGCCTGATGACTTGAATTCCATCTCCAGAACTCACACTGAAAGAGAAAATTCTCCTGAAAGTTGTCCTCTAACATCCATAAGTGCTGTGGCATGCGCCCCCTCCCCCAAATTAGAAAGGAAGGAAGGAATAGGCACACAGCAGGTAAAGGTACTTGCCATCAAACCTGACAACCTGAGCGCAATCGCCGGACCCACTGGTGGAAAGAGAGGACAAATTCCTGCCAACTTGTCCTCTGACCTCTACACACACACTATGGCACAACTGCCCCACCTCCAAAATGAATAAATGAATGTAAAAAAAGTATAATAGATAAAAAAACTTAAAAGATGCCAAACTTACTTATTTTTTTGAGACAGGGTCCCCTGTAGCCCTAGCAGGCCTTGATCTCACAGAGATCCACCTGCCTCTGCCTCCCAAGTGCTAGGATTAAAGGTGTGTGCCACAACATCCAGTAAACTTGGCACATAAGCATAGCCTTAAAAAACAAATCTAAGCCAGGCATGCTGGCTCACACCTATAATCACAGCATTTGAGGAAAGTAGAAAGTGGGTTTGAAGGCATCCTGGGCTACATAGTGAGACCCTGTCAAAAAATCAAATGCAAACAAACTAAAATCTGTACTTACAAGTGGTTAAATATTCCCAGAATGACACCAAACGTCATGTGAATAATTCCTAAAATCACAGACATTTTCATCTTGAAGGAATTGAGGAAAGTGAGGCGATTTGTAGCCAGGTTCCAAATCTAAAGACCAAACCAAACACAAAAACAATCTAAGTTCCATCAACAGAGGGCATAGAGAAAGCACCCCCCCACACCATCCTGAATGGTGAAGTGGTTTTGTCTACAAAGGAAACACCACCCAATTGTCTTTTGAAGCTTTCAATCCCGAACCATTGATTTTCTTAGGCAAGGGCCACAGAACATCAAAGCCAGGAACCCATCTCTCCTAAGCTCAGGGTAGCAGTCACTGGTGAGTCTGGCTGCAGAGTGGGTAATTTAACATGTGCTGAACACTATTCATATTTCCAATGATGGTCAGACTGAAGCTACAGCATTCGTTATAAATGGAAAGGAACAGGACACTGAGACATTGGGAACACCAAAATGCGGTGCTACATTGGATAGCTACACTTCTCACTCAGCCTACTAGTTTGTCTGTCCCTTGCACAGCCTCATGCACATCCCTCCAAGCCAGGTGTCAGTCTTGCTGAGATCCTCTTTTTTAAAAAAATATTTAATTTTTATTTTATTTTTTTAATATTATTTTATTTTTACATGTATGAGTCTATCACCTGCATGTATGCAAGTGCACACGTGTCATGCAATGCTGTGGAGGTCAGAAGAGGGCATCAGAATCCCCTGGAACTGGAGTTAAGGACAGTTCGTAGCCACCATGTGGGTGCTGGAACTCAAACCCAGGTCCTCTGCAAGAGCAGTCAGTGGTCCTAACCACTGAACCATCTCTCCAGCCCTTAATTTTTATTTTTTATGTGTATATAAGTGCACCCATGTCATGCAATGTTACAGAGGCCAGAAGAGGGTGTCAGATCTCCTAGAACTAGAGTTACAGGTGGTTGATAGCAGCCATGTGAGTGCTAGGAATTGAACGCTGGTCCTCTGCAAGAGCAGCCAGTGCTCTTAACCACTGAGCCATCTCTCCTAACCCCGAGATCTACTTTTAAGAGAACTCTGAGGGAAAACTATCTTGTACACTCCATGATCCAAAGTTTGGCCTAACGGACCTGTCTTCTGGGCCCTCTTGTTGGATAGAAGGGCTGGCATCTGGGAGCCACTTTAACTCTACACTGTTCCTCTCAGGATCAAAGAATTCACATACACAAAGGAGCAGTTCAAGAACTGGCCCTCAGTGTCCATGGCCTCCAAAGGGTTGCTTCCACTAGAGGAAAGGGCTTATAGCTAGGGCAGTAGCCCCACAACCCTGCCCACCTCTCCTGCACTGACCTGGCTTCCCCAGGGGGCAGACCAATAGCTCCCAACTCCACAGACTCATCAGCTTATGGAGAACATAGGAGCCACTGCACTGAGGCAGCCACATCTCCCTTCTCATAGGACAGGGAAAGGAGCACTCACGGGGTCAATGCCGAAAGGGTAAGGGCCTCGGAACACTCCAGGGATACTTGGGTCCAGTTGCAAAGTCTTGCTGTGCCTGACAATGCTGTCACTGTGGGAGAGGGCAGAGTGAGGTCAGTGCAAGCCACAGAGACAGCTTGGGACACGCTGACCCCACCTACAGCATCCTTGGTCACAGGCCACTCACTTCCAAAGCACCATCTTCCCTTGCTTCTCTGGAGAGTGGCTGGAGCTGTACATGGCAGATATGTTCCACCCAGAGCCAAAGAGGTTCACGGACTTGGAGAAGCAGTCGTTGTAGATGAGGCCGGTGTACACGGAGAACAACCCCATCAGCAGGAGGATGTAGCGGCCATTAAAGAACATCCTGAGGATCTGGGAGGAGCCACTGTGAGGTCAGACTTGCTCACTAGGACAGTGGGCTCATAGTAGGAAAGCTCATTCTGGCACATCCTCAGCCATTCTCAGGGCTTCACAGAAAACCACCTAACAGCAGGTGTCTGTCACCCAGAGGTGACAGATGCACTCTTACAGAACAGAATTATGCCCAAAGTTAACATGTAAAACAGCTCTTGAGCCATGCATGCTGGGCAAACCTGTAGGTCCAACACTCAAGAAGTAGAGGCAGGAGGCTCAGGAGTTCACGGCCAGCCTTAGCCATGTAACAAGTTTGAGGCTAGCCTGGGCTACATGAGACCATCTCTACCATTCACCACCAAAAACAATGAACAAAACACAACAAAACCAGTCAAACAGAATGCAAGCCAAGTCCCACCACTGCTCCCCACCACACTGAGGCTGGCTATGTGCATTACCTCCTGTGACTGCTTTAGTCTGGGATGATTCTCATTTAACACCAGCAAGAGGGCAAATAAGAACATCACAAAGCCGTGCCCGAAGTCTCCAAACATCACAGCAAATAGAAATGGGAATGTGATGATGGTAAAGAGAGCTGCAGAGAAAAGAAAGGGTCAGCAAGTTCTCATTTATAGATAGGAAGATGGGTTAGCTCACACATATGATGCTATGATCCGAACTTTCCCACAGTGCTCAGGATGGAACTATGAAGTTAAATCTCAACATTATATTAAGCTGAAAACATCACAGCAATGAGCCACTTTGCAGACATCTGTACATTCCCACACTGAGGAAAATAAGTAACAGAGGTAGGCATGGCGGTACATGCACGCCTGTGGTCCCAGCAGTACTCAGGAGGCTGAAACATGCAGATCACAGAGTTCAAGGTCAACTCAGACTACACTGTGTTTCAGGCTAGCCAGGGCTACAGTGTGAAATCTTGACTCAAACACCAAACAAAAGCAAAAGCAGAGCCAATGTAAGCAAGAAGGGGCCATGTCCCAATGTCCCACCTGGGTTCACTTCTCTGTAGCTTCCAACACCATAGGCATCCACGATGTTCTGGAAGCCCTCAGTGAATCTGTTGGTACGGATCAGAGTGGGCGGCGCTTCTTTTGTGGGGATTGTGTTCATGAATGAGGGGATCGTAGCACCACTCTGTCTCTTCCACACAGAAAGAAAGAGAAAATATGAATATCCACGAAAAATTACAAGAGTTCGAGACACAAGCAGTTGTGCTCTGGGCAAGCTCTGTGCTCACTGATGTGAGGCTCATGGGTGTGAGTTGCCATTGCAGAGGTGCAAGCAGAACAGAAGTGGCAGGAGGACAGCACGCGTGGCTGTGGCCTCTGGGGAGGAGACTGAGTGGATCTGAGGTAAGGTGGATGGAGGGAGAATCAGGCCCAGAGCCATGAAAACTAAAATGTGGGCCAGACATGGTAGTGCAAGCCTGTGACACTGGCATTTGGGCGGCTGAGGCAGGAAGATCTTGAATTTGGGGCCAGACTGGCTACAAAGTGAGACCCTATTTCCACAAAAGAAAAAACCTGAAATTTAGAACTTTCTCTCTTAAAGTAGTCAAAAAAAGGAAGTTAGCAGTAATAACAATAGTATCCAATTTATAAACAAGAAAAACAAGTAAGAAAAAACAAAATATGTAAGTTTTTCCTTTAGTATTCAGTTTACAATTCTCCTGAAAAGCACATTGATCTACAATTAAAAACAGAGAACAGAAATTAGTAAGAAAAAGGCTAACCCAGAAGAAATGAGCAAAGAATGTGGACTTCACAAAAAAAAAAAAAAAAAAATTCAAAAGGCTCTTCAGCATACATAAAGGAATTGAGCTTCACTCAAAACAAAAGCTAGGCACTAGATATCTACCAAGTAATTCAAATGGGGAGGAGGAGACTTTTCCAGAAGATCTGCGTCTGCCGATGTACCAAAGATCAAGCAAGGATTATGCTCTGCAATGGGTTTAAAACTGGAAAATATCCGAATGACAGAAAACTAACAAATCAAGATGCATGTATATAACAAAATCTAGACATAAAAATAAGTTAACTTTATTAAGCAAAAATAAATAATAAAAAATAAAATAAAATAAATAAAAAAATAAAATAAACACACAATCTGTTTATTTAAAAAAAAAAAAAAAAAGATGCTGAGCCCGGAATGGTGACGCCTACCTTTAATTGCAGTACTGGGGAGGCAGAGGCAGGCAGAGGTCTGTAGATCAAGACCAGCCTGGTCTCCATTAGTGAGTTCTAAGCCAGCTGGGGCTACAAGGAGACCCTGTCTAAAAAACAAACATCAACAACAAGAAAGAGATGCTGAGCAGCTGTTGGTGCTATCCCTTACACTTTCCAACCTACAGAACTACAAAACACATAAATTTCTTTCAAAATTAAAAAAAATTAGAGGAGATGTGTGTGTGTGTGTGTGTGTGTGTGTGTGTGTGTGTGTGTGTGTGAGAGGAGAGAGAGAGAGAGAGAGAGAGAGAGAGAGACAGAGACAGAGATCTCCATTTCTATGTACTTGCCTGTGATAGTGAGTGTAAGGTAGGGTAGTTGGAAACAGTTCCCTAAGTGAGGGACTGGATGAGGCTGTGGTCAGTAGGAGCCACTTCCCTATTTTTTCATGGTTCTTTTTCTTGAGAAAATTTTAAATGTTCTGCCTGCAAAATGTCCCTGAACGATCTGCTCTCCAAGGCCTCAGTCTGAAAAGCAGAGTCTGACAAGCATCTTTTCTGTCAAACTCCTTTTTCATTTTGTTTCAGTATCAGTCTGGCCTTTAACTCTCTATCCCCCTGCCTCAGTGTCCCTATTACTAAGATTACAAGGCTACACCCCCACATCTGTCCTGTGAAATGCCTATGTTCTTTTATTTATATTAAATTTTTAAAAAATTTTACATATGTGGTTTTCAAGTATGTATGTACACTCATGTCATGCAATGCCTATAGAGGCCAGAAGAAGGCATCAAATCCCTTGGAACTGGAGTAACACATGAGTGTTAGTTGCCATACGGATGATGGGAACCGAACCTGGGTCCTCTGCTAGAGCAGTCAGTGCTCTTAATTGCTGAGCCATCTCTCCAGCCCCATGCACATGTTCTTGACTGGCCTGAGTCTAAAGGTTCCAGCAGAACAGGGAGGCTTACCGAACCCTCCTCCAATGCTCGACGCAAGCCTGGCAGGTCTGCCTCGGGGCACCAGACCTCGGCAATGAGGCACTTATTGGTCACATCAAAGCTGCACATATTCAGCATGTGGTAGATGGCTTTCATTTTCTTCACTTGCAACACACGGCTGCACACTGACTCTGCGGCTTTGCACAGCACTTGCCTCAGATAATCCTCTGTCTTATGTAGCACCTGCAGGAGCAAGCATGAATTCTGTGGCAGCCCTTCCAGTTCCTGTCCACCAGTCTGACTTCCTTTGGGGAATCATCTGGAGAAGGGTCATTCTAGGAACCTGCTCCCACGGCAGCACCCAGAAAGGGGCAGGGGCTGCCAGCTCCACCAGTGAGCATTCGGGGTGGTTTCTCACAGGCACAGGAAGCACTTAGACATCAATTTCACAGGCAGCAAGGTAGCTGGTGGGCCTAGACAGCTTTGTCAACTCTTACCTACTCCAAGGTATGGCCCAGACCCTTAGTTCTGAAAGGTTCCTACTCTTATTCCAGCCCTGTCAAGAAATCCCCTTTTGCTTACATGTGTCAAAACCTGCCTCTTGTTACTTGCCACCAAGACCCCTCACTGTCATCAGAACTATGACTCTAGACAGGGTATGTAAGATGACACCCACCACCACAGCTTATTTTCAGTAGTCAAGAATGACCATTAGTACACCAAAGAGAGCAAAGGAGCTTTTCTAAGCTCCATCATTACTGCTTGGGTTTGCAACTACTCAAATAAACCTTCCACAAGACCACGGACTCTCCCTCACCCAACCCCAGTACCACAAAGACATCTTCACTGTCCACAACTACAGCTTTCCACACTGGAGAAGAAAGCAGATGGATCTGCAAATGTTCCCAGCCCCCAGCTTACTCACAGTGTAAAGATCTTGGATCCGTGTGTTGAGCCCCTCCTGAATCTCCCTGCGCTCTTCAGCAGTGTTTGGATACGGGTAGATATGGCAGTGGTAACTAGAGGGCAGAAGTCAACAGTCTGATGTCTGGCAAGACCAGAAGAGCTACCTCTTTTTTCTTTTTTGTCTTTCTGAGACAGGGTCTCCCTGTAGCCCCAGCTGTCCTGGAACTCACTATGTAGACCAGGCTGGCCTTGAACTCACAGAGATCCACCTGCTTCTGGCTCCCAAGTGCTGGGATTAAAGGCGTGCACCACCACACCCGGCTCTTCTTGGTCTTTTTGAGATAGTGTCTCCCTGTATCCCTAGCTGGCCTGGAATTTCCTATGTAGACCAAGCTGGATTCCATCTTACAGAGATCCACCTGCTTTGCAAGTGCTGGGATTAAAGGGATGCTCCACAGAAGAGCCACTTCTAACACTAGCACCAGAAACTACTCACACCAGGCATTCCTGCTTCCAACATGGAGTAGATGCAGTTACGTCTCCACAGGGAGGCCTTGCATGCACACTCACTATCAGTAAATGGGATCCAAACCCACCCAATTCTAGGAGTCCTATTCCTAATTCTGCCTATCTGAAATGCACCAACATCCTGGGCTGGGAATCAATCAAGCTGAAAATATACCTTAAAGGATATGCCAGGTAGCCAGGTATGGTGGTGCACACCTTTAATCCCAGCACTAGGGAGGCAGAGGCAAGGGGATCTCTATGAGATCAAGGTCAGCAAGTTCCAGGCCAGCTGGGGTTATGGGGAGATCCTGTCTCAAAAAAACAAAAAAGAATCAGTAAGACCTGGTAGAACAGTGGTAGAACGCCTGCCTAGTATGCAAGAGGTCCAGGTTCTTCAAAGACTTGAAAAAGAGGGGAAGAAACCAATGGCATTAAGCCTCATTCCTTACCAGTCACATATCTTCTTAACCTTGTGGCCAATCTGCTCTCCCCAAAAGGATATCAGGAACACATACCACTTTATGACTTCTCCCTTCAAAGAGACACAGGAACAGTGAGGTCTGTGAATTACATCCAACCCGTGCAGCTCATACTCTTCCAGACTGAGTTCACTAACCCAGGCAGTAGGTATAATCACTCTTACTGCAGCAGACTATGACTGCAAATTTGCATACCAAGAAAGCCCCACAGCTTTTTTTTTTCGGTCTTTTTGAGACAGGGTCTCCCTGTAGCCCCAGCTGGCCTGGAACTCACTGTGTAGACCAGGCTGGCCTTGAACTCACAGAGATCCACCTGCCTCTGCCTCCTGAGTGCTGTGACTAAATGCATGAGCCACCACGCCCAGTCTAGTTGTGATGAATGAACGTAATCATTGTGAAAAATGAGAATCAACTGCATTTACAAATGTTTAGCAAAATACAATTCTCTAAAACTTGGCTGAGAGGTACAGAATTCAGTAGTACAGAACTTGCCTTGTGTAAACAAAGTCCTAGGTTCAATCCCTAGCACTGAAGAACAAGTGAGTGGGCATTTTGCCTATCTGCCAGGCACCACTGCAGGTGCCAGGGGGAACGGAGGAAGCTGTTCAGGTTGACAAGAGTTCTAATAGTCCAGCTGGAGGGCTGGGGGGTAGGGCGGGGGGGTAGAGTTCATACAGCAATCTTAAGCAGGGTAGCAAAGAAAAGTTCAAGAAAACATAACTTTCAAGTGTAGGAAATGAACAGGTGAAGGAGAGAGCCACATGTTCCAAGGAAAGGCCTCTGAAACAAAGGGAAAAGCACAAACAGAAGCAGGTGGGAGAGAGCCAGCAGAGATAGAGAGGGACAGACAGGATGATGGAAAAGCAGAGCACTTGGGGATGGGCTACTATAGGGCTTGGGGCTTTCTGCTGTATAAACAGGAAGCCCCCAGACGGTTCTAAGTGAAGGAATGAGAAGATGTGGCAGGGTTTACCCTAGATGTGGGAGGAGACCAGAGCAAGACGGCAGGTGTACAAGTGGAGGCAGGGACTGTGTAACCTGGAACAAGAAAAGTTACAGCTAAGACCCCAACTAGGACAGGGCAGAGGGGGCAAGGAAGAGCACCCAGACTCGCTTTGTTTCCAAGGCTAACCACTGAATCTGCAGATAGACTTGAGTGGCAAAGAGAAAGCCAGGAGACCCTGTGGTTTCTGTCCTGAGCATTTAGAAACAGAGTAGCGCTTACTGAGGTGGGTCTAGAAGGGCAGACTTCAGGGGAAAGTGCAGAACTCCAGTGTGAGGCATGAGGCAGAAGCGTCTTCCAGGTATTTACAAGACAGAAGTCTGGTATGCAGACAAGGCAAGCTAAGGTTCTGCATACAGAGAAGAAACTTGACAAAAATCATCCTCCACTTTCGCTGTACAGCATCTGACTGTGACAGGTACTCACTGTCTCTGGGTCTTCAAGGGACTCATCCAGCTCTGCATAAGTCACAATGGTGTACCCTTTGCAGGCCCGCCACAGCATTTTTTCAAATGCTTCGACTTTTCCTTGTTGAATCAGGCCAGATACGAACCTGTGAGACAGTGGAGACACAGTTGGCTGACATCAGCAGCCTTACCAAGATGCACTAGAGAAGAGGAAAGCCCTCCATCTCCTACAGGTCGCAAAGCTGCATTCTAATTAGACAGCTGAGTCTCTAGTAAAGGGAAAGTCTCAGATTCCAAAGATGAAACAGAATGACGAGTTGTCCTGTGTTTATTATACTGACCTTGGGTATTAAGGCTTTAGAAATGCCAACACAGAAGATGTTGACAGTAACTAGGTCCAGGATAGGTGAGGAAATGGAACCCCATCTCACTATGGCTGGGATTTCCTGCCCAAAGGGCTGACCCAGAAAATAATCCATCTTCAAAGGAGCCTATGTAGTCACTTATTTCAGCTGTGGTTTTAGATAGAAGAGATGTTCCCGGAGAACACTGCCCCATAGCATAGAACTCTGCCAGGTTTGTAGTGTAAATTCCCATCACTTCCCAAAAAAAGGCCACCCCAATAAAAACTCAGACTGAGGAACCAAAGTAAAATGATTCTGGGTTGACAGAGTGCTCCCTGCTTTCCAGTGAGAGTGAAGACAAATCTTTCTGAAGGAATATATATACAAGTCAAACCTCACTGGATGCCTTCAGATAAGGAACTCAAAGATATAAGCTGATTAAAAACATGTCACCACACATGGTGGTACATGCTATTAATCTCAGCATTTTGGAGGCAGAAACAGGTGAATCTCTGTGAGTCTGAGGCCAAATTAGTCTATGTAGTTAGTTCTAGGCCAGCTAGGGCTGCTACACAGTAAGACCTTGTCTAAAAAAAGAAAGGGAGGGGTATGTGGGACACTAGATAAATGGCTCATGGTTAAAAGTACTGGCTGATCTTGCAAAAGACCCCAGTTTGATTCCCAGTACCCACATGGCAGCTAACAATTGTCTATAATTCTAGTTCTAAGGACTCCAACACCCTCTTCCTGCTTCTGTGGGCATTACATGCATGTGCTATACTTATAAACATGCAGACAAAACACCCATACAAATAAAATAAAAAATAAATGAATCAAAAAGTCATAGCTGGGGCTGGAGAGGTGGCTCAGTGGTTAAGAGCACTGACTGCTCTTACAGAGGATTTGGGTTCAGTTCCCAGCACCTACATAGTTAACAGTCATCCGTAACTCCAATTTTAGGGGACCTGATGCCCTCTTCTGGCCTCCATGGGCATTTCACAACAGCTGTACTTACATGCAGGTAAAACATTCCTACAAATAAATTTTTTAAAAAGCCATGGCTGGCCAGGCATGGTGATGCAGGCCTTTAATCCCAGAATTCGGGAGGCAGAGGCAGGCAAATCTCTGAGTTCAAGGCCAGCCTGGTCTACACTCTTCCTCAAAAATAAGAAAAAGAGGGCTGGTGAGATGGCTCAGTGGGAAAGGGTGCTTGCAGCCAAGCCTAACAGCCTGAGTTCGAGCCCCAGTACTCACATGACAGAAAGAGAGAACCAACTACCGTAAGTCATCCTCTGACCTCCACATACATGTGTGCACCAGCTCCCTCAATACATAAATAAGTGTTTTAAAAATTAACAAAAAAAGGGAAAATCACCAAAAAATACAATAGTCAGTAGTGCCAGGTGTGGTGACATATACCTCTAATCCCAGCACTTGGTAAGCTGAAGTAGAAAGATCAGGAGTTGAAGGTTATCTTTAGCTACATAGTAAGTTTGAAGCCTGTCTGGGCGCTACATAGTGAGTCTGAAGCCAGTCTGGGCGCTACATAGTGAGTCTGAAGCCAGTCTGGGCGCTACATAGTGAGTCTGAAGCCAGTCTGGGCGCTACATAGTGAGTCTGAAGCCAGTCTGGGCGCTACATAGTGAGTCTGAAGCCAGTCTGGGCGCTACATAGTGAGTCTGAAGCCAGTCTGGGCGCTACATAGTGAGTCTGAAGCCAGTCTGGGCGCTACATAGTGAGTCTGAAGCCAGTCTGGGCGCTACATAGTGAGTCTGAAGCCAGTCTGGGCGCTACATAGTGAGTCTGAAGCCAGTCTGGGCGCTACATAGTGAGTCTGAAGCCAGTTTGGGTGCTACACAGTGAGTCTGAAGCCAGTCTGAGCGCTACATAGTGAGTCTGAAGCCAGTCTGGGTGCTACACAGTGAGTCTGAAGCCAGTCTGAGAGCTACATAGTGAGTCTGAAGCCAGTCTGGGTGCTACACAGTGAGTCTGAAGCCAGTCTGAGAGCTACATAGTGAGTCTGAAGCCAGTCTGGGTGCTACACAGTGAGTCTGAAGCCAGTCTGGGCTATAAGAGACCCTGTCTCAAAAAAAAAAAAAAAAAAAAGAGGAGGAGGAGAATAGGTGAAAAAAAAATTTTTTTAGGAAAAAAAAAATCACTAAAAGCATAATTTAAAAACAAATGAGCCAGAGAGCTGCCTCAGTGGTAAAGGCACTTGCTGCCAAGCCTGATGACTTGAGTTCAATCCCTGGAACCCACATAGTGGCAGGAGAGAACCAACTCCTGTAAGTTGACCCCCATACCCACTAACCCAGCTGAGCCCCATGTCTTCAACAGGATTTGGTGCTTCAATGACCAATTATCTCAGGCTCATAAGAGTCAACACTAGGTAATATAAATGCTGCTTCTTTCCAACTCAGTATACCACAAGAAGAAACTTCCACTGTACTCAGCTACAGTGGTACAGCTGAGTAACTCAGCCCAACTGTACAGGAGCCCAGTGTTTCTGAGATAGTCACTTGGACTCAAACACAGCCTTTAAAATGGGTCCATTCATCAGCTATAGCACTAGTCTCCTATTTTACAAGAAGGGCTTGGCTACCTCAGTCACTGTCACCTACCCCAGTTTTGCTCCCAGCCTCTGCATACAGCTGTAGTCCAACAAAGAGTCATTCTCTAAGGCAGGGAACTCTTCATAAGTGGGTTCAAACTAGAAAGAGATACAGAGAAGTGTGTGGTTAACAGTGTACCCCACTCCTCATATGATGTTTCCAGACAAGTCTGTATATACCTCCTAACAAACCACAGGAATGAGAGAAAAGGACAAGACAGCTGAGCTGGGTAAATCAACCCCATAAAGAAAAAGAAGATCTCCTATGCTTTTTAAATAAAAGAATGGTTATAAATTAGGGCATGCCTTAATTCAAAATAGAGTCAAATGTCATCACTAGATCAAGTAAAACTAAATTCAGAAGGGACAGCTCCCTCCTACACTAAGATCAGTGTGTTGCAGACTGAGTAGTCAGAGCTCAAGAGCCTAAAACCCAACTGCTCTGAGATTTGGCGACACCCAGTAGGTGAAGTTCATGTCAACATCCCAAGATTCTGACACAAAGGACTCACACAAAAGGTCCTGTCCATTGGGGGTCAGGGATACAAGACCAGTTCTACAAGGAGAACTGTTCTTCACTCAGAATTAAGAGTCTGTCTTCTTAGTAATTTGGAAAAAAACAAACTTTATAGTTTAACTTCTACTTTTTAAACTTTTTCTCATGATGATAAAAACATTATTTTCAACTGAAAACTAAAGCATTTCATGAGTAGGAAGTACTGTCAATGCCAAAACTACTAACACAGGAAAAGGCTTTATCATATAACCCAACTGAAAAATAAAGGCCAAAATTTAATCTTTAAAAAAAAAAAAACACATCTAAGCCAAGAATGATGGCTCAAGCCTGTAATTCCAGCACTCTGAAGGCTAAGGCAGGAGAATCATCCCAAGTTTAGCCTGAACTACATAATGAGGCTGTATCTCAAAAAAAAAAAAAAAATTAATAAAAAGCAGGGCAAGCTGGGCATGGTGTCGCACACCTTTAATCCTAGCACTCAGGAGGCAGAGGCAGATGGATCTCTGAGTTTGAGGCCAGCCTGGTCTACCCAGGCCAGCTGGGGCTACAGGGAGACCCTGTCTCAAAAAGACTTTAGAAAAATAAAAATTTAAAAAAGGCAATAATACCCATGGCCAGTGTAGGAGACTGATACAGTGTGTTTTCTCCCCACACTGTTCTTCACAACGCCCACTGACACATACCTCCACATTCCGTCTCACAAAGGTCTTCGTCACCCTCAGCATGTGGGTGTACTCAATCAGTTCCAGCAGGTTCTTCCTCAGTTTCTCCTTGTTCTTTGTAACTTCTCTCAGTTCGACCTCAAGCTTCTGCAACTGCTCCTACAACAACACAGCTGACACTGAAGAGCATGGCTTAGTCCCAGGTACAATACACCACACCCAATAGAGGGCTTAAAAAGCCAAAACATGGGGCTGAAGAGATGGCTCAGCAGCTAAGAGGATTAGCTGCTCTTTCAGAGGATGGGGATTGTTTCCAGCACCCACAAGGTAGTAGTTAACAACCATCTGTAACTCCAGTTCCAGGGGATCTACCGCCCTCTTCTGGCCTCTGCAGGCACTACACACGTGGGTGCAATTTCATACCCATAAAATAAAAATTAATTTTAAAAAATTATTTTTTTAAAAAAGTCAGAACAGGGCTGGAGAGATGGCTCAGTGGTTAAGAGCACTGGCTGTTCTTGGAGAAGACCCTGGTTTGAATTCCAGCACCCACATGGGGGCTAAAAACAGTCCAGAACTCTAGTTCCAGGGGATCGGATGCTCTCTTCTGTCCTCTGTGGCATTGCACAACAGGGATGCACTCACATACATGCAGGCAATACACTCATGCACATAAAACTTAACTAATTAATTAAAAAATAAAAATAAATGAATAATAAATAAGTCAGAATATAAATAAATGCACCAGCCAGGATATGAAAATGTCAAGACTGCAAGGTTCAGCATCTCCTATTCATTCATGGAATGCTTGTGCAGTTCGTACCACATGACATCAAGCACTTCAGCCTGCTAATGTAGCTTCTTGCCTGAGGCCCTGTCACTGACTGCTGTCTTTCCTTCAGCTGCTGTCCATTGCCACATATCCAATCTATATTTTATTTGCAACAGAAAAAATAAAGGATCACCTTTTCTGAATGTATTCTCCTAATCTCTAGCTTAAGAATCTCATTCATTCCCACTAAGCAATTAAGAGGACAAAGCATTATTAAGAACAAAACTTAAGAGTTATTTATAGCACCCTCCTCATCCCTTACACATTAAAACAATGGATGTAGAAAGTCACAAAGTTAGTTACAGAGTCAGTGAACACTCATTCAAACAAGTCACTCACTGTCCTCATTACTGTACTGGCCTTATCAAAACTGTGAACAGTAATCACTATTTCCATAGTTACATCATAATCAACCCATCCAATCAAACCAGGGGACTGCCTCTCCTGCTGGAATTGTGTCACGTGTGGCATGAACTCAGATATCAAAAGGTCAGTGACTTCCTCCCAGATAGACAGAGTAGCAAGCCACAAAGGTCACTCAGTGACACTAGGATTATTGTTTTAAAAGAGCAATGAGCCAGGTGTGGTGGCAGGTATCTTTACTCTCAGTACGTGGGAGGCAGAGGCAGGTGGATCTCTGTGAGACTGAGGCCAGCCTGGTCTACATAGCAAGTTCCAGGCCAGCTGGGGCTAAAGCGAGACCATGTCTCAAAAGAACAACAAAAAAGATCAATGAAGAACCCAGCATTTTTCTCAAAGTGCCAAACTCTAACAGGAAAAGTCTGGAACCTTGGACATTAGCCAGTGTTCGTGGGAGAGGGAAGTATGATACTACATACTTCATCCCTCACACGAGTGCCTGAAACAACCCAGTGCCTTGCCTGGGCTTCTGAATACCTGCTGGGAGCATAGGGTGAATTTTAGAAGAACATGAAGGTTCAGGATTGAAGCCCTGGTACTGACATAGGAACAGGAGTATTCAAGGATGGATAATCCCAGCATGAACTTCCTGAAACATCCTAGCTCTGTCCAGCAAGAGCTGGAAGGGGACACACGTGGTCTATAGCAAAAGAAAACTGAATTATAGTTCAAGTTTATCACGGATCATCTACAACTGAGCTCTAGTTTGCTCTAATAATGTTCTCTACTTTTCAGGCCACAGATTAGGGAAGAAAGCAGAGAAGCATCAGGCACTATGAAGCAGTAACCCAGCAACCCCCAGGGCTGATGCTGCATGGTATCTTCAGTAGCAAGTTACCTGCATCTCTAGAACCTGTTTAAGAGGTGGTGCAGGAGGACTGGCCTCTCCCTCAGGCAGGGGAATATCAACTCTGGTAATTTCCTGCACCAGATACACTGTGAAAATAAGATACACAATCAGACACGGAATCTCATCACAACCTTCTCAGTCAACCCCAACCTATTGCACACACAAAGACCCTGCTTGTTCTACAGGCCTTACACAGCACCTTCTGCAGCCTCATTCCAAAGGGCTGCAAACTAACACTGCCTGGGGAGACAACATGCAGTGAAATAAACAATGATGTGGGTTGGGGAGATGGCATACAGAGAAGTAAACAATAGTGTGGGTAAACACTGGCATGGGCTCCCCAGCTGCGTGGTTCCTAAACCCAGGTTACAGCTCATTTGAGTCTCTGCAAGGAGGCAGAGCTTGGGGACATATTTGGAGGATCAGACCTATAACCCCCCACCACAGAGGTGAGCTAGCTTTCTCTCTAGAGGTCTTCATTGAGAACCTGGAAGCCACTAAGAAAAACCCCACCTTAGCAGCCAAGCTTCCCTGGCAGGCTCATACGTAGCTCCACTACTTAAGTTAAAACCTAAATTCATAGACTACCAGAAACTGACAAAAATCAACTGATCTCTTTAGTCATAGTTTCAATTTCACAAAAAGTCCTTTTCCTTAGGATAAAAGTCACAGTTCCCAGCAGTCTTTACCAGGGACAAGAAGGGAGGGAGAAGGGACTGAGGTAGGAAGAGAAGGAGGGAAGAGGGACTGAGGGAGGGAAGAAAGAAAGGAGGGAAGGAAGGAGGGAGGGGGGAAAAAAGCAACTACATTTAACCAACAAGAGAAAAAGAAACATTAGTTTAAGAAGTTTCTAAAAATGAATGCAAAGTACATAAACCTATTTAAGCAGAAAGTTACTTGACAGTTTCATCTTTTTTTTTTAAGTCTGATTCTATTTTTTTTGTTTGTTTTTGAGTTGGAGGAATTGCTAAGAATTGAACCCAGTGCCTTGCATCTACATTCCCAGCCCAAGCCATCTGTTTCCAGCAGTTTACGTTACAGAATTCCTAGACAAACCTGATGTGTTAGCCCTCTGCCCTGCCTTTAAAAACTCTCATTCCAAACATTACCTGTCTAATGACTCAGGTATGAAGTCACCCTAACATACATTCTATTAATATGCAAACAATGAGGACTCAAGTAAACAAGAAAAGACATAGATTTCACATGACCAAAAGTTATTGCCAATGTTAAAAATCCTTCATTAAGCTGGGCGTGGTGGCTTATGCCTTTAATCCCAGCACTTGGGAGGCAGAGGCAGGTGGATCTTTGTGAGTTCGAGGCCAGCCTGGTCTACATAGTGAGTTCCAGGACAGGGGCTACAAGGAGACCCTGTCTCAAAAAGACAAAAAAAAAAAAAAAATCCTTCATTAAAAGGTCAGGCTCGCCAGGCATGGTGGTATGCGCCTTTAATCCCAGCACTCAGGAGGCTGAGGCAGGTGGATCTCTGTAAGTTCAAGGCCAGCTTGGTCTACACACTGAGTTCCAGGCCAGCTGGGGCTACAGGGAGACCCTGTCTCAAAAAGGCCAAAAAAAAAAAGGCCAGGCTCACATCTGTAATCCCAGCATGTGGGAAAGGACAGAAAGATCAGTAGTTCAAGGTCAGGCTCAGCTACATATTGAGTTTGAGGCCAGTCTGGGCTACCTGAGACCTTTCACTACCCCGTCCCCAAAAATAAACCAGCAAAAAAATCCCTAATTAAGGAGAGGTTCCCAAGCACCTCCCACCCCTGCCATCTGAGGAACTCTTAGCAATAGATGGTGCTGGGAAGGGAGAGTCACTTTTCTTTGAGGGTATGCCCCAATGGATGATCCCACACTATGCACGCATGGGCAGCAGTAACTAGACAGTGGGTTATATGAAAATAGGACATAAGCATGGTGGCACACGCCTTTAATCCAAGCACTCAGGAGGCAAAGGCAGGCAGATCTCTGTGAGTTCAAGGCCAGCCTGGTCTACATAGTGAGTTCCAGGACAGCTGGGGCTACAGGGAAACCCTGTTTTTAAAAAAAAAAAAGGACATAAAGTCGGGAAGGAAATGTGTTGAGGAGGCCAGGGGGAGTTGGAGGGAGGGAGGGAGTGGGGGCAGATATAAATAAGATATACTTTATATATGTATAAAATTTTCAAATAATAAAAATTGTTTTAAAATCCCCACTTTTGAAAAATCCGTAATGATTAGTGATCAGAAGTCATTCAAAAAGTCAGACTCTTACACTCAAGCTACTTCAGGCTAAGATCTTACAGAAGTTCTGTGGGCTACTAAGTTTTAACGGTTAACCAGATATCACTCACTGTGATCTAGCCCATTCACAAAGGAAGCTCTAAGAAAACACCAAGTATTATCAAGTCAAATATCTGCTATTTCCTGCCTTTCTTGTTCTTAACAAGTTAATGTGAATACAGTCTTTTTGAGTTATTAAAAAAAGCTACAGAGACTGGCTGAATATACTATGGGCACACTAATACAAAGAAATAGAAGGTAGTCATCAAAAATTCTGAGCCTAGAGCCGGGCGTGATGGTGCACACCTGTAGTCCCAGCACTTGGGAGGCAGAGGCAGGCGGATCTCTGTGAGTTCAGGCCAGCCTGGTCTACATAGTGAGTTCCAGGACAGCTGGGCCTACAGGGAGACCCTGTCTCAAAAGACAAAAAATAAAAATAAAAAAAATTTTTAAATTCTGAGCCTAAATTTATATGCAAGAAGGAAAATAACAGTAAGTACTATTAATTGAGAGACAAGCTGACAACAAAGTAACCTGCTCGGCAAGAAGACCCTTACTTCTAGAGATGAAGAAAACACGTGAAAAAATACAATACAGGGGGTAGAAAAGCAGCTAAGTGGTTAAAGAGCACTGGCTGCTAATGCAGAGGACCTCAGTTCAGTTCCCACCACCCACACAGTGGTTAACAACCATCTGTCGTTATTCCCGTTCCAGGGGATCCCACTCCCTCTCTGGCCTGTGTGGGCACTATACAACATGGGCACACAACATACATACAGGCAAAATACTCATACATGTAAAATAAAAACACATTAATTCTTTAAAAATACAATATAATTGGGGCTGGAGAGATGGCTCAGCATTTAAGAGCACTGAGTGCTCTTGCAGAGGACCAGGGTTCGATTTCCAGCACCCATATGGCGGCTACAACCATCCTTAACTCCAGTTCCAGGGGAATCCGAAGCCCTCTTCTGACCTCCGCGGCATTGTACAATACAGGTGCACTCACATGCATGCAGGCAATTCACTCATACACATAAAATAAAAATAATAAAATATTTTTTAAAAAATACAATATACTTGAGTAAGTGATTGTTTCTAATGGTAGGAATATGAACAATTTTTTCCCTATCTACTTGTCTATATTTTCTCATTTTTCTAAAAGAAATATGACTATATTTAAATAATTTTTTAGATTATTAAAAAGGTAAATTAACTCACCCAATATTCGTTCTAGTTCTTCACACCTCTTTACTTCACCAACAAATTTTCTTTGAAAAGAACTTACATTTTGGTTGAGCTGAGAAAAGAAAAAAAAGTTCCTTTTAAATTTCTAAAATTTAATAATAAATTTATTTTTTCTTTATCTAATTATTTAAAATATTTTGGTAGTGGGATCAAACCCAGGCCTGGTTAAATAAAATAAAAATTTATCTATATAATTTTTTAATTTTTTTGGTACTAGGACACATTCTGCCATTGAGCTAAAATAAAATTTGTTGGAGGAAAATATTACCTGCAAAGGTTGGGGGAATGGTACTGTCATATATTTCTGAATAGAGGGTAACATAACACTTTTCTGGACAGCAGTTTGGCAGCTGTTATCAGAAAAATCTGAAAATATCCCTTGGCCCAGACACATCCCATGAAGATATTTAACTTAAGAAAAAAACATGATTAAGGACATAAAACTTCTAACATCAACCTCAGAAATAGAGTAAATATACTAAACCCAAAATTCAACAACAGAAAATTGGTGTAACTCAGTCAACAGAGTTTTTGTCTAGCATGCAGGAAGCCATGTTCGATTGCCAGCACTGCATAAAACTGGGTGTGGTGACACACACCTGGTAATTCCAGCACTTGGAATTACTTGGAGGCAGGAGGATTATAAATTCAAAGTCACCCTGAACTATAAAGCAGGCTCAGGGCCATCCTGGCTACATGATACCCTATGTCTACCCCCCGACTCCCCCGCAAAAAACAGAAAAGACAATTGGCCAACGAACAAACGTGTATGGTGGTGCATACATAGGAGAAGTGGAGGCAGAGGATCAGAAGTTCAGGGTCATCCTTGACTGTATATGAAACTCAAGGCCAGAGTGGGCTACTAAGGCCCTGCCTCAAAAACAAACAAAAAAGCAGGTTAAAACAGTAATCAAGCTAGGTGTGGTGACACATGCCTTTAATCCCAGCACTCAGGAGGCAGAGGCAGGCAGGTCTCTGTGAGATTGAGGCCAGCCAGGCCAGTTAGGGCTACAATCTAAAAAATAAAAACAAAAAAAGTCAAAGTGCTAATTTCTTCCTGTTAAGATTGTCCAAGGTAATTATTCTTAGTAATAGTAGTAACATTCTATTTTTATAATAATCATTCTTGAAGATGGGCATTCAAGAGACTTGTACCCATATTCAGTCCAGTGTTTGCACCAGGTACCACCCATTCATTTGGTGTGAAACTGCTCAACAACCCAGGAAGCAGCCGCTCCCAAAGTATCAGTTCTTGTTCAAGATTTTGAATTACTTTTAAAGTATTAACTAGAAGAAAAGTAAAAGTTGGAATTTCACTTTTGTCTCTCACATTCCCTTTCACTTCTGGAGGTCATGCTCATCTGAAGAACCCTCTTCCAAAGCAACCTGCTTCTATGGAACTGAGAACAAAATCTGGGAGGCAGATATCAAGGGCTGCGTGCCTGCGGCTCCACTTCCCAGTCTTTTCTTCAGTGGCTTAACTCAAATTGAATGTTATGGTTTATAAACAGCAGGGTCTTTGTGAAGAGGCAAGCTCCCTGTGGCAGGGATCAAAACACCCACCACCACCACCAGTTTAGACATTGTCACCATTTTGTGTGTGGGGGTTACAAAAGGGTTTTTTGGAGGGAAGGGGGTACCAGTTAAGGTTGCAGTCACCTTAACTGAAGGCTAATGGCCTTAGAGTATCTCAGCACAAATTCCGTTTTTTCGAGACAGAGTCTTACTCTGTAGCCATGGCTGGCCTGGAACTCACTATGCAGACCAGGCTGGCCTCAAAACTACAGCGATCTATCTGCCTGCCTCTGCCTCCCAAGTTCTGGGATCAAAGGCTTGACCCCATATCCAGCATGACTTATGGGTGTGTGTGTGGTGAGTACAGTGCCTGTAGAGGCCAGAGGCATCAGATCTCCTAGAACTATGAGCCTCCCTATTAGCATGCTGGGAACTGAACTCTTAACTCAAAGTTAAGAGGAGAGGACACCTGTGCTATGGTACTTAACAATGCCGACAATGCCCACAGGAGAGGACCCCTGTGCTATGGTACTTAACAATGCCAACTCTCTAGCTTCAGCAGCTAAAGGACAAAGGAGGAAAGCTGTTCTTACGGAGTAAGGACTTAGAAAGTGAAGACGGGGCATGGATGGGGGAGCAGGTCTAAATTTGATTAAGAACTGTTTTATGAAATGTACAAAAGCTCAATAAAAAATTTTTTTAAAAGAACACGAGCTGATTCTGGCCCTTGGAGGGAGTCCAACTCGTTGGTGGCACAGCCTCTCTTTCAAGGTCTTCCCACTGCTGAAGCCTTGGAAATCTTTCAGCTGCTCCACCCCCTCCAAGGGCTACTGAAAGAAAAACTTAAATGAGCCAAGAAGAGCCAAGGTCAGTAATCCCACTCAGTGAATGACTATGGGACCCGATGTGATGAGCTTTAGTACCAGCACCCAAGTTGCTTGACAGCTACAGGTAACTGACACCCAGCACCCATGGAAAGAATTAAGCATAGCACTTTTGCTTTATTTTCCTTCAACAAACAGAAGAGCAGCACTTTCTCGTTCCTGCCTCTCTGTTTTAAAAGGATTCTGAGTCTACTCTAGGATCTCATGTAATGGCACTTAGTGAAACTTGAATCTCTGTGCTGATTAGAATGCTTGTTCAACCCCCTGAGATTCAAGTGTGGTAAGTGTCTGCGTTTGACTCCTAGAACTGATACAAAGAAAGGAGTCTGTTTCCTATGCAACTGCTGCCTGGACCTTTTGGGCATCACTCAGAGCACCATACCCCAAAACCCCACCTGTCAGGTATGGAGTTCCAAGGGTTGAAGTCCACGTGGTTCTAGGACCCAGAAAGAGCACTACACCTTGCCTGCACCCTGGCCTGTCACTTAGGCATCTCCCCATGACATTGCAAGGATCACCCATGTTATGTCAGATCATGGATACACATGCTCCTCTTGAAATTAAGGATCCATCAGAAAGATGCAGGGAAACAATGGCGGTGGCAGAAGTGGTAGAGTTCAATTCCATCATCAAGTGTCAGGTCCTATTGAGCAGCCTGCTTTCCACACACTGTACTTTCCCTCCAGAGCACTTAGCCTAGCTCCTAAGCAGTGTTCACCCAGTCTCCCTCCAGACTTTGAGCTCCAAGAGCACAGGGACTTTACCTGCTCCTTCACTTTGAGTCCCCAACACCAGAAGTCACTCAATAAAAGCTTGTTCATTCATCCAACAAATGTTTATTAATGCTAATAAATGCCAGGGACTGTGCTAAGTCTTGGAAAATGAGGAAGGAACAACTCGGGCAAGGTCTTGACCCTTGGAGAGTGTCAGTCCACAGTGGTGATGAACAATAAACAAGTCAATGGACACATAAACAAGTGTGTGATTATTACTTTGGAGAGAGAGCTTCCATTCCACACATACTGACCGCCACTCAGGTCCCTGTCCAGCAATGTGGACGCATCATCCCACAGGAGTAAACTAACCCAAAAGCTTTCAACTAGAGAACTCACAATCTGGTCAGGACTCCAGCTCAGCCTGATCCCTTCACATGGGACCCTCTTCCTGCACATCTTCCCACTGCCAGCTCCTGCCCCATTCCAGTGTCAGCTCAAAGGCCACCTCCTCAGAGGAGTCTTCCTTCACCAATCTGCAAAACTGACCTTCCAGTCCGAAGTCACCCCGTTCTACTGTGGCTCACCTATCTACGTGCCCAGCGCCCCCCACCGCCCGCGCTCCCGTAGATTGCAACAGACCTCCCAGAGGCCGAGGCAGGGTGTTCTCCCGCTCCGCCCGGGCCCGGCCGCAGCGCTACACTCACGTCTCGGAACTGCACCAGGCCCTTTTCGCCCAGCGCGCTCAGGCACTCGTAGGCCGTGCCCGACTGCAGAAAGAGCTGCGCCAGGCACATGCTCTCGCTCCGGAACAGGGAGCCCATGGCGGCGCGGCCTGGCCCGGCCCCGGCCTCGCTCAGCCGCCGCGGCCCGCGCTCGGGGCTCCTGCAGCCGCCCGGCCGCGCGCCCGCACCGTAGGGCTCCGCGCTGCTCCTCGGCTGCCACCACCGCCGCCGCCGCTCAGCCGTCGCCAGTGCCGCGGGCCACGCCACGCCCACCGCCACAGCCGGTTCCGGTTCCGCCCCCATGGCCCGCCCACTGTCTGCCGACCTATGGACGGCCGGGATTGCGGCTATCAGTCGCGAAGGCGCCGCCAATGGCGCACAGCCGGAGAGAACTGCCCTTGCGCGAGTGAGTGCGCCCTTGGGTGGGCTCTGCCGGGCTTTTCGGGTTTGTTCTTTGGATCGTTGACGTTTAGTTTTTTGAGATATGGTCTGGCAGTGGAGTCTGGGCTGGCCTGGAACTCACACTCCTTCCGCATCCTCCCGAGTGCCAGGATTATTAAGCATGTCCCACACGGCCAGCTCCTTTTAAAGACTTTTTCTTCTTTTAAAACAAGCCGGGCGTGATAGCGCACGCCTTGGGAGGCAGAGGCAGGCGGATCTCTGTGAGTTCAAGGCCAGCCTGGTCTACATAGTGAGTTCCAGGACAGCTGGGGCTACAGGGAGACCCTGTCTCAAAACCACTGGCCAGTCTCCAAATGATGATCGCCACAGCATCCACTCATGTGAGGTCCCCAGAGTCATCAGATCCATAGACAGAGGGTTTTAGAATAGTGGGTACCAGGGAGTAGGGAGAAAGTTGGGCATCAGTGTTCAACAGGGAACAGTTTCCATTGGGAGATGGGAGGGTTCTGTGGATGAAGGCGTAGCTAGGCAATGCTGTCACGGTGGGAAGGGCACTGGACTATGAGATTATAAAAATTTGTCACTGGGTGTGGTGGGGCACGCCTTTAATCCCAGCACTCAGGAGGCAGAGGCAGGCGGATCTTTGTGAGTTCAAGACCAGCCTGGTCTACATAGTGAGTTCCACAACAGCTGGGGCTAGAGAGAGACCCGTCTCAAAAAGACCGGGGGTGGAGGGGGCAGAGGGGGGGTTGTCTTTATTCACAATTTCATGCATGGGAAACACGAATCTTTTTCTTAGATAGGCTGGTCCTGAACTCACTATGTACCTGAGGATGATCTTGAACTTCTGATCCTCCTACTTCCACTTCTCAAGTGCTGGAATTACAGTGAGCACTATACCCAGCCTATGCATTTCTGGGGATGGAACCCAGAGCCCCATTCATGCTAGACAAGCACTCTAGCAATTTTAGGACATTTTAAAAAATAAGTCTTAGGTGATAGAGACAGCATAGCAGGGAAGAGCACTTGCTGCTCTTGCAGAAGACCAAGGTTAGTTCCCCATACTCACATGGCAGCTCACAACTACTTGTAACTCCAGTTCAGGGGATCCAACCTCTTCTGAACTCCAAGGGTTCCTGCATATACCTACACTCAGGGATGGAGAAATGGCTCGGCAAGTTAAGAGCACTAACTGCTCTTACAGAGGATCCTGGTTCGATTCTCAGCAACCACATGACAGCTAACAACTATCTGTTAAGTCCAGTCCCAAGGAATCCAACACCCTCTTCTGACCTCCGAGGGCATTACACAACACAGGTGCATTTACATACATGGAGGCGATACACTCATACACATAAAATAAAAAAAATAGGAGGCTGGAGGGACCTTTCAGTGGTTAAGAACACTGGCTGTTCTTGCAGAAGATCCAGGTTGGAATCCTAGCACCCACATGGCAGCTAACAACTGTCAGTAATTCCAGTTCCAGGGGAACTGACAGCCTCTTCTGACCTCCTCAGGTATTGCACAACATTGGGTGCACTTACTACATGCAGGCAATACACGCATACACATAAAAATAATAAAGACTGTAAAAACATAATATTTTTAAAATTGACACATTTCTTTCAACCCCACAAATCTATGGTTCTTGTAAAGTTACAGAGGGTGCAGAAGACCCGGGTTCGAATCCCAGCACCCACATGGCAGCTAACAACAGTCCATAACTACAGTTCCAGAGGATCTGAGGGCCTCTTCTGTCCTGCAGCAGAGTTCAAGAGGTTAACAGAAGTGGGCTGAGAATCTACATAGATAACGAAGCTGGGTGTGATGGTGCACACCTTTAGTCCCAGTACTCAGGAGGCAGAGGCAGGCAGATCTCTCTGAGACTGAAGCCAGCCTGATCTACAAAGCAAGTTCCAGGACAGCTGTGGCTACAGAAAAAATAATAATTCAGTAGACCAGGGCCAGAAAGGAACTGCTGTGATCAGATCTGAGAGCAAAGCTACAGACTTCAGATGGGAGAAGAACCAGGAAACCAATCAGGAACAGGAAATGGTGGGTCAAGCCCAGGTCCAGATGGGCAAATAGGCAGACAGATAAGCAGTCAAGAAGGCTGTGTCAACAGCAGGGACCAATCCAAATAGGAGGTCCTTGGTCTTTGATGCACACACCAAGTATCAGATGATAGGTTTTTAGGGGCCTTTGCAATGTTAGACATCCATCACTATATGGGGCCCAGGCAAGGGAGTTATACCCTTTCCTCAGTCCAGTATGCCAGATAAATTCTTGGGCCTGGTTTCCCTACTATGTTTTGGGTTTTTGTTTGTTTGTTGGGTATTTTTTTTGTTTGGTTGGGTTTTTTTTTTTTTTTTTTTTTTTTTTTGTAAAAAAAAAAAAAAAAAAAAAAAAAGAGGACGATAAATCTTTCACTGTGATATATCAAAATAAAGACCAGGCTGGCCTCGAACTCACAGAGATCCGCCGGCCTCTGCCTCCCAAGTGCTGGGATTAAAGGCATGCACCACCACACCTGGCTGGTTTTTTTTTTTTTTAATGTATATTAGCATACTGCCTGCATGCATGTAAGTGCACCTGTGTCAGGCAATGTCCACAGAGGTCAGAAGAGGGCATTTGTTACCAGCCATGTGGATGCTGGGAACCGAAACCAGGTCCTCTGTAAAAGCAGCCAGTGCTCTTAACCACTGAGCTATCTCTCCAGTTTGTTATTTTGGTTTTTTAAGATAGGGTCTCCTTGTAACCCCAAGCGTGCCTGGAACTCCCTATGTAGACCAAGCCGGCCTTGATTTCACAGAGCTCCATCTCAGAGTACAGGGACTAAAGTCACCACCATGCCCAGCTTGTCCCTGACATGTTTTTAATATGCCTACCTTCCCCTAAAATTTCAATTCTCTCCAATAAACTTATAGGGTAGCTCCATTTCTACTCCCAGGAATAAGTCATTTATCAGTCTGTGCTGGGTGGGTGGTGCATACAGAGGGTGCAGCTTCTGGGTCCACCCAGGGGCTGTAGTCAACCTTTTTCCTGAAAATGGAGTCAAAGCTGCTTCTCAAATGGAATCTCTTAAGGCAATTCACAGCCTGGAAACCAGTTTTATATAATATGGAGTAACCCAAAATAGACCATAGCCTGATCCCAACATTGGGGGGAGGGTATCATTATACATTTAGTATTGTGCTGGATAGCTTTAGTGTCAATTTGACACACCTGGGTTGAGGGAGCCTCAATCGGGGAATTGCCTCTATTGGACTGGCCTGTGGCCATGTCTGAAGGGCATCTTCTTGATGAGTGATGTGGGAGGGCCCAGCCCACTGTGGGTGGTGCCATTCCTGGGCAGGTGGGCCTGTGTTGCATAAGAAAGCAGGCTGAGCAGGGGCCAAGGGAGCAAGCCAGTAAGCAGCGTTCCTCCATGGCCTGTGTCCTAGCTCCTGCCTCCAGGTTCCTGCCCTGAGTTCCTACCTTGGGCTCCCTGATGAACTGCGACTTGGGAGTTGTAAGCTGAATAAACCCTTTCCTCCCCAAGTTGGTAGTGGTCAGAGTGTTTTGTCACAGCAATGAAGAAACAAACCAGGACAAGTATGAATAGGAAAATAAACACAACTGTCACAAACAAAAATCAAAATTAGGTTTATCAGGGCTGGAGAGATGACTCAGCATTAAGAGCACTTACTGGTCTTGAAGAGAACCTGGGTTCAGAGATCCCTGCACCCACTTGGTAGCTCACAACTGTCTGCAACTCCAGTTCTAGGGGATCTGATTCCCTCTTCTGGCCTCTGTGGGCACCAGGCATACAAGTGGTACACACACATACATGCAGGTACACTCATACACATAAAAATATTTTAAAAGATTTTTATGTGTACATATAGTATGTGTGCATGTCTGAGAGAGAGAGAGAGAGAGAGAGAGAGAGAGAGAGAGAGAGAGAATGTGTGTGTGCAGTGCCTGCCGAGCTGCCGAGGTCAAAAGAGGCTGTCGGATCCCCTGGAGAAGCTGGAGTTGCAGGCAGTTGTGGGACACACCATGTGGGTGCTAGGAACTGAACATGAGTCCTCTGCAAGGGCAGCAAACTCTCAACTGCTGAGCCATCTCTCCAGGCCCCATTTTTAGTTTCTTATAAATGTAAAGTATGGCTCTGCCTTTCTAAATTCAAAGTCTTGAACATAGGTCCTCAGTGACCTGGCTTTGCTTCACTTTCCTTCCCCCAGCCCACATACCTTTCAACTTATTTGTGCTTTTCTATTTCTTCCTTCCTTTTCCTCCCTCCCCCCCCCCCTCCCTCCCTCCCTCCTTCCTTCCTTCCTTCTTTCCCTTTCTCCCTCCTTCCTTCTGTGCTGGATGGAAGCCAGGCCCTCAACATGTTAGGTGGGTGTTCTACCACTTAGCTTTTTTTTTTTCTGAGACAGGGTCTCACTGTGTAGGTCTGGCTGGCCTGGAACTCACTGTATATATGAGACTGGCATCAAACTCAGAGATCCACATGACTCTGCATCCTGAGTGCTGGAATTAAAGGTTTGGACTACCACATCCAATAGTAATACAGCATTTTTTAAAATTTTAGAGCGCTAGCAAGATGGCTCATCAGGTAAAGGTGATTGCTGTCAAGCCTGGCAATCTGAGTCCACCCTAGATCCTACTTCCACATACACATACACACACACACACACACACACACACACACACAACTGCACACAAATACATACATACATACATACATACATACATACATACACATAAATAACAAATTAAAAGGGTTTTATAAAGCATTTCTTTCTTTGATTTTTTGAGACAGGGTCTCACCATATGGCCCCGGCTAGGCTGAAACTCTTTATGTAAACCAGGCTGGCCTTGAACTCACAGAAATCCACCTGCTTCTGCCTCCCCAGTGCTAAGATTAAAGGTGTACATACCACACAACACCTATGAAACATTTTTTAACCCTTTCTCTGGACTATGAAAAAGTAACCAATCTTTATTGTACATTTGCATTAAGTCTGATATAAATAAAATCCCTCTGACTTTAAGAATTTTGGTCAGTTGAAGTTTCTGACATTCGGTGACGGCCCATTTATTCTCTCTCTCTCTCTCTCTCTCTCTCTCTCTCTCTCTCTCTCCCTCCCTCCCTCCTTCCCTCCATCTAGACTGCAGGATGAATGTTCATCCTGTGTCACTTTAAACATCTAGATAAATGGCTTAAATTCACACACACTTAATAAGAACTATAAAAATAAGATTTCATTTATTAAAATGTTTCAGAGGAGTCAGGCGTGGTAGCACATGCCTTTGATCCCTGCACTTGGGAGGCAGAGGCAGGTGAATATCTGTGAGTTAGATGCCAGTCTAGTCAACATAGTGAGTTCCAGGACAGCTGGGGCTACATGGAGACCCTGTCTCAAAGAGACAAAAAAAAAAAAGTTTCAGAGAGGCATGCAGGACTACAGGAAAGCACTGAGGGGAGGGTCTGAGTCTTTAAGAAGACTCAGTGGTAGATGGGAGCTCAGCACCAGGTTTTGCATATTCTGGTCCAGGGATGACTGAGGAGCACGGCCAGCACAAGGAATGACACCAACATCAGCCCCTTGGCAACACACTGGGAACGGGGCTCCCCTGAGAGACAGCAAAGAACAACCAAGTCACATCACTTCTAGACTTCTGTAGTAATTATTTAGCCCAAACATTAATAGTGACAACTTATAAGTACATCAATATCAGTACTTTTTTTCCTTTTTAAACCTTGCTACATATTTATGTTTTCTGTGACATTTATACATAGGTTCTTAAAACTGTTGACCATATCTGCCAACCATAGAGGAACCTGCTCTCCCTACCTTGGTAATACTGGCTCAGAGGGTACAGAAGTTGGGGCCAACACACCTCATTCCTGTCACAGTTGTACTCTGTGAAATTGATCTGGAATCTAGAAAGTAGAGAGACATGCAACAGAAACAGGCGAGAGGCATCAGAACCCAAGGAGAGGAACAGGCATTCTAGCCTCCTGACAGCTCTGCCAGGTCAACCACTGCATTACCTTGTTGGGGGATGCGGCATCTGTGCAGGAATTTTAATGAACTGAACTGATGCACTGAGAGGGAGAAGGTCGGTCTTATCCTCACAGGTGAGCCCACACTGGTACTGCCAGGTCACTGTGGAGAACCTAGAAGTGGAAGATCAAAGGCAACGTGGTCACTGTCCATCTGAAGTCTCCTCAGGACTCCAGGAATTGTATTGCATCCATTTTCCAAATATAGACAGGAGGAGAGAACATCTCTCCCCTGTAGCTGTGCTAGAGCATGGTGCTTTTAAAGTGAACTTGTCTCAGTCTGATAATAGTAACAGTTGCTAACCATCTCTTGAGGGCACTCCATGCTCTGAGCATAGAGCTAAGATGTTTTTTACACACTGATCATGAATCCTCAAGACAGTACTGTAAGATGGGGTACAGCTCAGTGGTGGAGCACTTGTTTAGGGTGCAGAGGCCCTGGTCCATCCCAGCACTGGGAATATAACAGTATTCTAGAGTACTATGAAGTAGATCTGCTGATTAATGGCAGAGTCCTTCCTCCTGTCAGGGAACTGCTCCCTAACTTTCCCTTGGGTAACCACCATTCCCCAGTATGTTCACTGGACCAGAAGGCACTAGCCTGAATCTAGGGGTTGGACCTATCCCCGGAGCCTGCTTGTCAGAACTGTTGATCACCCTGACCATGATTAGTTCGAATGGAAGCATGTGAGCACATGAACCAGTAAGTCTGCCCAGTTCTCTTTGGGAAGCAGACCCCTTTCCTCTGGCTCTGCTAAACCAATGCAAGGCTGAGCTGCTGCTGTTCACCTCAGCAGGTTCCCAGGGTGAACCTCCCTGAGGGAAGCCAGCCCCAGAGCAAGAGGAGCCCAGGAGTGAAGAGGAAAAGATCCCTCCTTGACCTCACAGAAACCACAAACACTGAACATAGGGATTCTTCTAAACAGAAGATCAAGTTCCACCTTCTGCTTGATGGAACCCTGTCACACAACACTGGCAGAGACCTGCTGCACAGAGAAGTCACCATTTTGTTGATGGAGAGAGTTTGCCTAAGGTCACAGATAACTCTGTGATCTGAACAAGCCCATTTGCCCTCAAAGCCTCTAACTAGTGGCCATGTTCTGTCATCAGCATGCCAATCATAGTCACAGATTCAAATATGCTCAACACTATGCAGCCCCTTAGCAGCCCGGGAGTGCCCTAAGATACTGTGTAGAACATAGTGCTACTGAGGACAAGTGCTATTACAAGTACAGTTTGGACATGTTCCACTTACACAAAGATTGCCATTTGTAAACATACAGATTCTGGCTTAGCATTTCCTTATTGTGCTCTTGACCATGGCAAGTCTTGGGAGGGGACCCCACCTTGTCTCCACACCAAGAATCTCCTGCTGAGCCACTCCTTCCACCGCGCCAGCTTCTGCAATGAGGATATGGATGTTGAGCTGAGCTGGCACGTCCAGGCAGATGCCATTTGCACTGTCCCAAGGTGGGTTGGCATCAGTATCAGGGGCATCAACACCTGGAGGAATGTCAAGTTAAGCATCTGCTAAATGCAGCTGACCTACATGTCATGGATGATACTCAGAACAATGAGAAGTGCTATTGACAGGAGTCCAGTCACAAAGCTTTACCCTCTAACAGCTCCGATGGTCACTCCACAACCGTGTGACCACATAAAGTCTACACAGCAAGCAGATGCTAATCACCAGGGTGGGGTCTGAACATTTCCCTGTAGGGAAAATCAGGTGCTGAAAAAGTTCCAATCCATACAATAAAACTAAAAACCAAGATTCAGTGTCTAGGACTACAGAGATGGCTCAGTGTTAAGAGAGCTTAATGTTCTTCCAGAGAATGCCCTCTTCTGGCCTCTTAGGGCACTGCACAAATGTGGCCTACCAACACAGGTACCCACACACATCTACATATAAATAAAGATAAAAATCTTTTTTTGTTTGTTTTTTTGGTCTTTTTAAGATAAGGGTCTCCCTGTAGCCCCAGATGGCCTGGAACTCACTATGTAGACCAGGCTGGCCTTGAACTCACAGAGATTCACCTGCCTCTGCCTCCCGAGTGCTGGGATTACAAAGACAAAAACTCTTTAAAAAAAGATACAGCATCTGAGCTTGCCACTGAAACCCACCAAGTATTCTAACAGAACAATACAGAACTATAGTAAAATATCACCAAGAACTATTCTGGACAGTCCCAGTTTTAATAGACACTATGTAAAAAAAGATATTTAAGGGGCTAGAGAGATGACTCAGCAGTTAAGAGCATAGACTGCTCTTGCAGAGGACTCAGGTTTGATTCCCAGCACCCACATGGCAGCTAACAACTGTCCATAACTCCAGTTCCAGGGAATCTGACACCCTCTTCTGATCTCTGCAGGCACTGTACAACACGGGTGCACTTACACAGATGCAGGCAATACACTCAAACACATAAAATAATTAAAAAAAAAATTTTTTTTTGTCTTTTTGAAGCAGGGTCTCCCTGTAGCCTCAGCTGTCCTGGAACTCACTATGTTCAAGACCAAGCTGGCCTTGAACTCTCAGAGATCCGCCTGCCTCTGCCTCCGAAGTGCTGTGACTACAGGCGTGCACCACCACACCTGGCTAAAATAATAAAATTTTTAAAAAAAAATTTTTTTTTTTTGGTCTTTTTGAGACAGGGTCTCTCTGTAGTCCCAGCTGTCCTGGAACTTGCTATGTAGACCAGGCTGGCCTTGAACTCACAGAGATCCGCCTGCCTCTGCCTCCCAAGTGCTGGGATTAAAGGCGTGCGCCACCATGCCCAGCTAAAAAAAACTTTTTTAAAGATATTTAAACTTCTTTCTGGGGGCTAGAGAGATGGCTCAGCAGTTAGGAGCACTTGCTGCTCTTCCAGAAGACTCAAGTTTAGTTTCCAACACCCACATTGGGGGGCTCGCAACCAACTATAACTCCAGCTTCTACAGGTATCCAATGCCTTTGGCCTCCACAGGCACCTGGATTCACAAGCCCATACCCACACGTATACCCCCTACACACACACACACACACACACACAATTTTAAAATAAAATCTTTAAGCCAGGTGTGGTGGCACACGCCTGTAGTTGAAGAGCCAGAATGCTCTGACTCCATTTTGGCCAGCTTCTTTAGACAAGCCCAGACAAGCTCAGGCATATTGTACATGTAAAAACCTTATAAGGTATGAACAAAAACTTCTGACTCTAAAAGATATCAGTCAGCACATTCCAATGCCCTGAAGACAGACCCTACCAATCAAGACTTTCCCTGTACATGTTATGGGGACATCCAACTATTTTAAAAAATGCTTGGTGCAGGCAGGTTTCTGTGGAGTGCCCCAATAAAAGCTCCTGCCTGCTATTGTTCGGGGCCAGACTCCATCTTTGGCTCGTGAAGTCTGTGCCCAGCTAGCCGCCATTTGGTTGTTGTCCTTTTTTTACTTTAAACTCTTAAATAAGCTTTTTGTATAATCTTTTTGGGTATCTGTGGGAATTATTCTCGATTCTCGAACCCTAACAGTAGTCCTAGCACTTGGGAGGCAGAGGCAGGCGGATCTCTGAGTTTAAGGCCAGCCTGGTCTACACAGTGAGTTCCAGGACAGCTGGGGCTACAGTGAGACCCTGTCTCAAAAAGACCAAAAAAATAAATAAAATAAAATAAAATCTTTAAAAACAAAACAAAAATTCATTCTTTGGTTAGTATGGATTAGATAAATAAGAAGCAATTTCCTGATGTAATCACCATAGTAATCAACTGGAAGAGAATAAAACCAAATATGTGTGTGTGTGTGTGTGTGTGTGTGTGCTAGGGATCAAACCTAAGGTCTCATACATGCCAGGCAAGTGCTCTTCCACTGAGCCAACATCCAGCTCCTGCCCATTCCTATTTTAAAATATTTTACTTTTATTTATGTGTACATGTATTTGTGTGTGTGTGTGTGTGTGTGTGCACCCGTGTGCACCCACACACATAGTGACTTACAGGCAGGCTGGGACTAGGGAGACCCTGTCAAAACAAAACAAAACAAAACAAGAACAAGAACAACAAAATCGAGGCAAAGAAATATCTGCACTGGCTGCTCTTGCAGAGGACCCCAGATTCAATTCCCAGCTAACAACCACCCATTAACTCCAGTTCCAAGGGATCTGACACCTTCTTCTGACCTCCACAGGCACTGCACAACACAGGTGCAATACATACAGGCAATACCCTCATACACACACACAAAAAAATAATAATAATAAATTTAATAGGCAAAAAAGAAACACCTACAGCATCAGGCTCTAAACCTATGACTGTGGATGACAGGCAGCTGCAACTCACGTATGATCTCCAACCAGCCATCATGCAGATTACTGTAGTCAGAGTTGCCTCTCATCGCAACATGAGTTGCTTGGATTAGCGAATCCAGTCTTTCAACAGCATTCTCCCTGCAAGAGAGGAAGACATTTCAGCTCGTGGCCAGTAAGGTCTATCTTGAAATTCTTTTCCTAGAGTATCTACTTGTCTTTGCTGGAGGAACAGATATGAAAAACAGACAGGGAGGGGCCAGCAATATGGCTCAGCAGGTAGAGGAGTTTGCATGCAGGCCTGACGACTTGAATTTGATTCCTGGATCAAATAAGGTGACCAGAGAAAACAGAATTGTCCACTGATTGCAACATGCAAGTTATTGGCATGCATGCCTGCACTCCAATACACACACACACACACACACACCAAATAAATTTTTTAAAAAATTTTAAGACAGGGTCTCAACTAGGTAGTACTGGCTGGCCTGGAACTTGGTGTGTAGACCAGACTGGCCTAGACCTCAGAGATCCACCTGCCTCCCAAGTGCTAGGACTAAAGATGTGAGCTACCATGCCTCGCTAAAACATTTTACATGAGCTGGGAATCCTACTTCTTTTCTCTGGTGTCCCTAGAATGTCCCTCTGCAATCAGGGGAGAACAATACTTTCCTTTTGGGCTTAAAATGACATGTAGTTTAACTTACGTGACGTGTAGTTTAACTCCACAGAGTGACACAGAACTTAGGAGAAAACAGGTCGGATACTTAACCAAGGATCAACTCATGAGCTGGGTGACCCAGCAGTGAGATCAATTAAGCTCTTGCTAGGCTGAGTTAAAAGTTAATGTAGATTAGGAGCTGGCGCTCAGGACCCTCCTATTCAGCAATCTCACTGGAGGTGTAAATCTCAAGAGTCATCAGCCAAAGGCTAACCTTGAGTGTCACAGCCTATGCTCCAATGCTGCTGCCACTTACACTAGCTGTCCTTAACTTCCCAAAGCCTCTTCCAGCTGTTCCCGCTCCCCATAGAACACACCACCTGGAATATACTGAAGAGAATGCAGGCCTAAGATTCCACGAAACCAGAAGCACAATGAACATTAACCACCCAAGAGGAGGTTATTTTTCAAAAAATGGACAAGAGGGACTGGAGAGATGCCTCAGCAGCTGCTCTTGCAGAGGACCCAGGTTCAGTTCCCAGCACCCACATGGCAGCCAACAATAGCCCCTAACAAATAAATACTTTAAAAGTTCAATTTTAAAAAGGAAACAGTAAATGTTGGGAGAATGTGGAAAACCTGGCATCCTCTCTCACTGCCAGGGAGAGTAGCAAATGATGCCACCACTGTAGAAAAAGTGGGGGGGGGGGGCTCTTCAGATACCAAGCACAGATTACCAAGTGACCAGGTACTTCTCCTGGGTATAGACAAAAAGAGCAAGAAGCTCAGGCAAACAGAAACTTTTACAGGGCACATGCATATTAGCATGCTTTCCACAGCCAACTGCTCATACCCAGGGAAATAAACAAGACATAGTGTGTACAGATACACACACTACGTTTCACCACAGAAATGAACACAGTTCTGACAGAGATAGGACCTGTGTAATTCCATTTACATTGGTTATCAAGACTGGGCAAAGCCACAGAGGCAGACAGTAGGTTTACATGGTACAAGTAGGTTTACAAGGCTACAGGAAGGAGACCTGAGGGAGTAACTACCGGCTTCCTTTTTGGTGATGAAATATTTTAGAGCTGGAGACAGTGACTGCAGAAAATTAGAGGACTAAATAACATTCAACTGTTTTTTTGTTGTTTTTAAATATTTATTATTTTTATGTGTATGTATGTATTGCCTGCATGTAGGTAAGCGCACCCCTGTAATGCAATGCCTGAGGAAGACAGATCCCCTGGAACTGGAGTTACAGACAGTTGTTAGCTGCCATGTGGGTGCTGGGATTCGAACCCGGGTCTTCTGCAAGAACAGTCAGTGTTCTTAACCGCTGAGCCATCTCTCCAGCCCCATGTTGTTGTTTTTTAATACTTTTTTATTTGTGTGTGTGTGTGTGTGTGTGTGTGCCCTCAAGTGCATGTGCAATGGCAGGCATGTGGTCAGAGATCAACCTGTGGGAGTCAGTTCTCTCCTTCTACTATGTGGGCCCCAGGTATTGAACTGAGGTTGTCAGGCTTAGCATCAAATACCATTACCTGGTGAGTCATCCCACCAGCCCATTTGTTTTTCTTTATGTTGAGACAGGGTCTTGATATGTAGCCCAAGACTGCCTCAAACTCACAACAGTCCTTCTGCCTCAGCTGCTGGAATCCTGGAATTACAGGTATAAGCACCAGGTCTACACCTTTAATCCCAGCACTCAGGAGACAGAGGCAGGCAGATCTCTGTGAGATGAGGCCAGCCTGATCTACATAACAAGTTCTAGTCAGCTGGAACTACAAGGTGAGCCTGTCTCAAAACAAAACAAAAAAAAATTTTTTTTTTAATTTACAGAAAGATGGTTTAGCAATAAAAGCACTTGCCTCCAACTGATTACCTGAGTTTGACCCCTGAAACCCATGGTGGAAGGACAGAACTTACTCCAGAAAGTCCTCTGACCTACACACACACACACACACACACACACACACACCATGGTAGGCATGCGCCCATACTCATACATCACACACACAATAATTTGGGGGGGGGGCTTTTTTTTTTTGTCTTTTTGAGACAGGGTCTCCTTGTAGCCCCACCTGGTCTGGAACTCACTATGTAGAGCAGGCTTGCCTCGAAGTCACAAAGATCCACCTGCCTCCTGCCTCTACCTCCCAAGTGCTGGGATTAATGGCATGCGCCACCACGCCCGCCAATAATACATATTTTAAAAAATATTTTATTATTTTTATTTTATGTGTATGAGTGTATTGCCTGCATGTATGTGCATGCACCCGTGTTGTGCAGTGCTGCAGAGGTCAGAAGAGGGCTTCAGATTCCCCTGGAACTGGAGTTAAGGACGGTTCGTAGCCACCATGTGGGTACTGGGAATAGAACCTGGGTCCTCTGCAGTCAGTGGTCTCAACTACTGAGCCATCTCTCCAGCCCAATAATAATAAATTTTTAAAACAAACATATATACATACACACTTTACTAGGCTACAGGGAGACCCTATCTCAAATAAATGAAAACAAGAAACTCACCTGAGCTGTGTGCAGTTCTCATTAATCCGAACTTCCAAAAGACAACCAGATAGTGCATTCTCTCCAAATAAAATGGGTTTGAAAGTGGCTGCTGTGCACAAGCCTTTCCCAGCTGCAGAAAGAGAAAGAGAGATAGAAAGAGACAGAGAGGGACAGACAGACAGACACTAAATGCTTTGCTGAATAAAGGACAAGACAGTACTTTGAAGATTTTCTGAAGAATATTAACTGTCCCAGCACTCAAGGGCTAATGCAAGAACATCCCAGTTCCAGGCCAGCCTGGGTTACACAGTGAGATTCTGCTCCCCAAAAAATGTAATTAAAAAAAAAAATCTTTCAAGCCAGGCATGGTGGTGCACGCCTGTGGTCCCAGTACTTGGGAGGCAGAGGCCGGTGGATCTCTGTGAGTTCAAGGCCAGCCTGGGCTACATAGTGAGTTCCAGGATAGCTGGGGCTACAGGGAGACCCTGTCTCAAAAAGACAAAAAAAAAAAAAAAATCTTTCTTGGCCAGGCATGGTAGCACACGCCTTTAATCCCAGCACTCAGGAAGCAGAGACAGGTGGAGCTGTGAGATTGAGGTCATCCTGGTCAACATCCAGAGTTCCAGGCCAGCTGGGGTACAGGGAGACCCTGTCTCAAAAACAACAAACCTCCCAAGTACTAGGATTGTAGGGGTGTGACAGCACACATAGCTGAAAAAATAAATAAATTTAATAATTTTAACAACACCAGAAAGTAGAAATAACATATCTGGTTTTCACAAACTGAGTTTGTTGTTAATCTAATTCTTTCAAAGCCAAACAAAGGCACCTTTCTGTGTCAGAATCAGAGGCTTATTGTGTAGAAAACTGGCCACTTCTGGCAGGTGTGGGCATTTACCACAGCTTCACAGTGTTTGCATTCAGAAGGAACTTTCAAGTCTCTAGTAAGTACTACACTGGGCTGTGGGCCAGACCAAGTGAGTTTCAGACCTCACTAACAGCCAGCACTTTAGGTGCAAAGTATTAGCATCCTTTAAAAAAAGCCACGAGCCGGGTGGGCGTGGTGGCACACGCCTGTAGTCCCAGCACTTAGGAGGCAGAGGCAGGCAGATCTCTGTGAGTTCAAGGCCAGCCTGGTCTACATAGTGAGTTCCAGGACAGCTGGGGCTACAGGGAGAAGACCCTGCTTCAAAAAAACA